CTGCACAAGAAAAACACACACAACATCATCAATCACACATACACAATTTCACCAAAACCTCCCCTGTTTTAGTGCACAAAAATGATCAACAAATCAAACCTTAGAGCATAAATAATCAACATGCAATCAACATCCACCAAGAACACAAGCTTAATACAACAACAAACAACAAACAACAACACATCAACAAACTTAACACAAAAAACACAAGAAATCGACATTTTGATTTCGATTAAAAAAAACCCAAAAAATGCAATACCCTAAGTCGCAATTACCATCATCAATTGGGCAGAAAATTCAAAATTTATATCAAATTAACAACAAAAACCATGAGTAAGTAAGCATACCTCAAAAAAATGGCGGTTTTCGCTGTCGTTTTCCCCAGATTTGAATGTAGCTGCTCGTGTTCTTCGACTTATGCGCAACGAATATTTCCAGAAATGGAAAGAATTAAGGGGCAAAAGGGGGAATAAAGAATAAGAAAGGGAAAAAAAGGGTTGACCCGCGCATTTTTTTAATCGGGTGGGGCCCACTTTCATTTAACCAAGGTACTGAATTCTTTAACCAAAGATACTGAATTCTTAGGCTGAATTTTTGTTTTGGCCGGAATTCTTAACTCAGTACCCAAAAGCAAAGCAAAAAAATTTTAGTACCTAAACGGTGAAAAAAAGTAGAATTGAGTACCTGAATTTGTGCTTAACTCCAAAAAACATGATACCATTTGTACATATTTTATACTACTTCCGATTTTTTTTATAGTTGCAAATTTGGGGTATTATTTGGGGTATATAAAATATTCCAAAATTGCAATAAAAAAAAAAAACAAAAAAACCGGAGGTAGTATAATTTTTAATAAATTATCCTGAATGTTCATATGTAAAAGACGGATAATTTAAATTCAAGTATCCTTGAATTTTATTGTGGTTAATCTGTTATAACTTTTTGATTCAAAAACGTTGATCATTTCTAATTTTAGATATTCTAGTATTCACTCTAGTAAAAAAAATATAAAAAAAATTTAAGTTATACTCCATATTCATGAATTTTGATAATTCACTTCCAGTTTTGAACAAGGTTGGGGCTATTACAACCTCAATTTATTTTTACTCATTTCAAATAAAATAAGCTACATTTAAAATTTATTAGGCAAAATAAGCTATGACAAGTCAATATGAATGAGAGTGAGGGGTAGCTCAAGTGGTTAGAGCTTCCCTCCCGATTCCAAGAGATCTTGGGATCGATTCTCACCCCCGCCCTTGTGGCTCTCTAAACACCAAAAAAAAAAAACAAGTCAATATGAATTACAGCTTAGAGAATAATACCTATTGGAAGTAGACTAGTGGTTAATCAAAATAAGCAACTTATAAAAACATAACACAATCTATATTTCCAATTAAACATTTCACTTTTATCTTAATGCTTTACTTGAAAATTCGTTATTGAATAAGGCCTATATGCATAGACAATCGCAAATGTCAACGTTAACTATATCATAAAACTCATTTAACCAATTATCAATCCAACTTCTTGTATTTTATTCAGCAAGGGTAAGGTATATTATCATGTATATAAGCCACGATATTAACTTGGTGAAAAAATGGCAAAATGCTAAAAGTACATAAATTGACCTAAAATAAACTAACTAGACAAATCAAGTCATATGAAAATTGCTACTCCGTAGAACTTAATTTGTTAAAGACTATTACCTCCCTACATATTCACACAAAAAAATCGTCAACATTGGCATAAATAGACTAGTAAAGTTGTTTCTTGCTGGCAATTTTAGTGAAGATAAAATGGACAATTTTGGAGGGTATTTTTTTTTTAATAAATTTGAACGCATTGCGAAAAAAGTTTAGTTTGCTACTTTGTTATTGGCTTATTGCCAGCTAGTTTGCCCCGAAAAAAAAAGGAAAAAGAAAAAAAAAAAAAGCACTCTATCATGGGCCAATAAGAGAAGATGGATGAGCTGATCATGCACCATGCATGTGATATCCGATTGTGACTAGATTATTCCGAAAAGTCAAGCAACTTGTGAAAACCAAACTTTATTCTATGAAATTCGAAGTTATATTAAGGAAATTTGGTCCTCATTCATTTTTTTTTTTAGAAAATAAATATATAGCTATACAAGTATACAACAAAAATCTACTAACCTAATTATTATTTATTAAAACTATGATAATACAGTTATCTACACACTATGGAGTACATGCTATAGTGTAATACGAATTAGAAATGTATATAATCAACACAAGTCTTACATAATTACTCATCATATATTCATATGTTATTGTACTACTAGATATGGGTTTTACATATTTTTAAAAGAAAATGAGGTATGGTGATAGATTTAAAATTACAATGAAATCAAAATTAAAGTTGATCAATGTTAGATGAAAGAAAATCTTCATCCCTTCATTGGTTAGTGTGTTACCCTCGATCAAGTTCACATAGAACCTCGTCATTTTCAAGTCATATTCATAAAATTTATTACTGATGATAAGCAATACAAGGATAGCTTAAGTAATTCGGATCAAGTTAATTAGAAAAATTATAAGCATGCCAAATTATTGTGAGTATTATATATATACACACACGCAATATCTACTAATTTCATAGTATTTACTCCATAAATCATATATTTTTTTATTTAAGAAAAAGAAAATTCATACTTCCATTACGATGCTAGTTGCTTACGCAGTACAATAACTTAAAATATAAGATTGTTAATAATCGTTCTTCGTTTTAAATTTTAATGATAAAAACATTTAATCCTTATGGACATCCATCCTTTTATAAATAAAACTTTCTTATTATGGTAAAATAAAATATTGGGAATATTAGTTCAAAAACATTGACCATGGCAACAATTGCCAGGGTAGCACATTTCACATTAAAATATATGGATCGCATGGAAAAAGGGCCGATAATTACCATATTTTACAAGTTTACGTGTTTCGGTTGGTGGAGGGGATTGGCTACACAATAATAAAATATAAAATATATATAAATTATTGAGATTATTAATAATGTCCTTTGGCTTTTATTGAACTCCAAGTGTCACGGAAAATGCCACTTAAGATACTTTGAGTAGTTTTTAAATATTGGGTTTATCCAAAAATATCTATACTTTTTATTATACTCTGTTATTAGGTTTGTAATATAATAAATCTATAAATGAAATAGTTCAAAAACGATTGGCACGTCGTCAAGCTATGTCAAGATAGTTTGTTATTATAACCTCTCATGATTTTTGCTTTTAAAATATGATTGTTTAAAGTATAGAACGTATGGGGTTGAATTTGGTTATTTGCCATGTTAGTTTGAGTAGTCAAAATTCTTGGCATGATTTGAAATTTAAGTTGTCTTTGACTTAACATGAGTAACGTAAAAATATACTTAATTTGTATATAAAATTGTAGGAAGATCATGTAACAACTAATCAACAATAATGCGATCAACATAAGAATAAAATTTTAAAAACAAATGAAGGTAATAACGGTTATTAATATCTTACAGTACATTACCCTTGGATGATACACATACTCATGATACACATACTCATGAATTGAATGACAACTCATCTAATTCATCCTGAATCCTCACAATTGTTTGTTCAATGCAAAGAGTCAAAGAGTTGTAGAGTGTTATGACTGTTATCATATAGTTAAACAACAAGGCCAATCTCATTAATACCCACCAAGATATCGATCCTTTATTTCTTTCATAGGTTTATTTATGTAGAGATATCCACTAGATGAATGTATAGTTAAATAATAATGAGATACATGTAGCAATTTAACATTCAGTTTAAATGCACTTTAGTGTAAAAGTTCAATTAACCTAATTATATATGAAAATATATAATATGGTATAATCTAATTTCCATATAAAATATTGCTTGTATGGCTGTATCCAGACTCATAAGATGTAATGAGATAGCATTAATATTACTTGTATGAGCTGTATCCAGACTCATAAGATGTAATGCAATAACATTAATTTCAAATTAACGAATATTATCCGAATACAATTTTTTCATTAACACTCTTAAAATAAGAGTATATTTGATTTAATTCGAGTCAAACATGACCTATCAACTCCATTTTTATTTAATTTTTGTGTCAAAATCCGCCATTGAGTGTATATATTTAGACATTGAAATCTTTATATTTTGATTTGGGTTGGGCCGTGTGGTGAAACAATTGGTGGTTTGGTTTATAACTTTGTACAAGTACACTACTCGTATTAAGTTTAGTTAAAGAGTCAATTAGATTAAAACAAAATCGGACCAAAAATCTCAAAAAAAACCAATAATGCGCGTGTCCCACTCCCACTATGAGTCTATTAGTTACGGGAGGGCTATTACAGCCTCGGGTCACAAGAGCACCCTAGTGGGACCCAGGTCACTTTCTTTTTGTCGGTACGCCCCTTAGTCACTCACGAGCAGCAGTAGGACCCACCAAATGTTAAAAACCCCAAAACTTAACATAACAACATTGAGCCGCGTTTCTCCTTTTTCTTCCCGCAAATCCAGCCCCCCCTTTGACATTTTCTCAAGTCAACCCCACCCCATTACCACCCTGGTTTTTCACGTACTCCACAATACCACTTGTTCATTTTTACTTTTTTTTACTACTGTATTTATATTTATTCCTCCATATTATGTAAATAATCTATATTCTTTTTTCTATGCGACTATCAAGTATTATCACTCCGTATTTATTATGAGTATTCTTTCTTTCTTATAAAAATCGACAATACATCACAAAGTATTGAAAATAAAAATACATAAGTACTTCGTATTTATTATTCTGTCCTTTTATATGATTATCAATATAAATAATACACAAGGGCAACAAAAATAATTTCTTTTTTAAAAAAATTGTCTTCTTGTTACCAGTTATATACTGTACAATTCCCTCAAAAAAAAAAGAATTTATATACTATACAATAATACAATATCTTTAAAAATAAAATAAAAACAATAATACAATAATACTAAATGAGTGTAATGCTAATTTTACAATACAGTGTATGTTTTTAGGACATGAATAGTTTAGTCTAAATGAGAATAATTTTCATTTATTATATACAATATACAACTGCAAATATTCTTGATAAAGATTTTTTTTCCTTTCCATTTTCATAAATCACTTGAATTGAGCTTATGTAAACCGATGATATTGAAAAAAAATCAAAATAAATAGAGAAAAAATGGTAGAAAATTTATACAAGTATAGTAGAATATAAAAATAAAAAAAATATACTCTTCTTAAAAAAAAAATAGAGAATTCAACCCATAAACGTCAAAAATATGCAACTTAAAAAAATAGAGAGCTGAAACTGAAAATGTCCTTTTCTAAAAATTTCATTTATATATATAAATCCCATCCCACTACCCTCCACTCTTTGTAATTATCTTTCTGATTTCTTATCCCCCACCCCTTCCAAAAGTCAGCGCCTTCTCTTGTCTCCATTCTCTCATTCCTTCCTTCTTTATTCTCACTTTCTCTCTCTTCCCCTGTTTTTTTTCCATTTCTCTCTCTTCATTACATCCATGGAAACCCCTCCAGATTGGGATCTACTCGCCGTTGTCAGAAGCTGCTGCTCCACCACCACTACAACCACCACCACCACGGCGGATCTAGAACCTTCTCCACCACTTCCGCCGCCACCCCCGTCGTCGTCGTCTTCGCAATTCATCCCTCTTCCTCAACTACATAACCAGCAGCAGCAACAACAACAACCGGCAAAGCAAGAGCCGTATTTTTCTACATCGCCTTGTTCAACAACGAGTGGGGGTGGTGGTGGAGGAAGTGGTGGTGTTCTTTTTCAATTTTCAAATCCCTTTGAGCCTTGCACCTCAACGACGTCGTTTGAGTTGCAGGATATATGTAAACCGTTGATTTGCACCACTACAACTACTGCAAATAGTTCCGTCACTATTCATAACAATAATAGTTTTCAGTCTCTCTCCTCGGCTTCGTTGGCATCTCCGGTATCTTCGCCTTCTTCAGTCATCACTGGAAGATCTTTTGGAATTGTCGAACAACAACAACAACATCAACATCAACAACAACAAACGCAGCTTCGAGGATTAATTAAGCCTTCTCATGTCATTTTTGGAACTTCTTCACCTTCTATCGCTGGAAATAATGCTTCTCAAACTCAGAGAACTAAGAAAAGGTTGGTTTTATTTGGATTAATTTCTCACGAGAAAAATATGATTTTGAGGAGTACCCATTTAGTAGATTGGTGTCAATTTTAATGGGTTCTGTTTTGATTGTTGTAATACAGGAAGAATTTGATGAAGAAGGTGTGTCATGTTCCAGCAGAAGGTCTTTCCTCTGATATGTGGGCTTGGAGAAAATATGGTCAGAAACCCATCAAAGGCTCTCCATATCCAAGGTGGTTTTTCTTTTTGTTTCTTTCTATATTACTTGATTTTTCCAAAAAAAAAAAAAAGAAAAAAGAAAAAAAAGTCAGTACTCCCCCCCTCGGTTAGCTCGAGTTTTCAACACTTTCCATTTTCATTCGATTAATTTACAAAGTGTTCCGTTAAGCATATGCTAAAGCACCTATAATGATAACATGTTGTGATAAGCTAAAGAATTTGTGTTCAAACTCTTTATTTGCTTTTAAAAGCAAAGCAAATTCCTCAACACACAACTCCAAGAATCTCATCAAATCTCAGCTCATTTCCAAAATTCTTTACTTTTAAAGGTGAAACCAGAAAAGTAGTCCTTGTTCAATGAAACCAACCATTAATAGAAATTCACCTACCAAAAATCATTTTTCTGATTTTCAATTATTTGCTACAATTTTATCTTAATTTTTACTAATGAATTTTATTTCCAAAAATAAATACAACAGGGGATACTACAGATGTAGCAGCTCAAAAGGATGTTTAGCCAGAAAACAAGTAGAGCGCAACAGATCAGACCCTAAAATGTTCATAGTCACCTACACTTCGGAACACAATCATCCTATGCCAACACACAGAAACTCTCTCGCCGGAAGTACCCGTCAAAAACCACTTACTACCACCGGAACACCGCCGGAGCAGCCCACTTGCTCGTCACCCTCCGCCGCAAGTCTCTCTCCTTTGACCGAGAAGTCAGAGTCAAAGACTGAAGGAGATGAATTGATCAAAGAGGAAGAAGATACTAGCGAGATGGCTTTATCTGATTTAATGCTTAATGATGATTTCTATGTGGGATTTGAGCAAATCGACGGTGGCTCAGATGGGAGTGATTGTTTTTCAGATCATTTTTCGCCGTCGTCGTCGGAATTTCCTTGGTTAAGTAATAGTAGTAGTACGGCAGCAGCTGCCGGAGGGAGTTGACTTTTTCCGGTAGACGTTGACTTTTATTAATTTTTTCCGGTGGGAGGAATTCTAGTGGTTGTTGATGATGGTGGGATTGACTTTTGGTTCATTGACATGATGCCTTCCCACTTTAATTCGGTCAACTTTTATTTTATTTTATTTTAAATTTATTATTTTTACTTTATTTGTGCTTTTTTGGAGGGGGGAGGTGGGAAAAATGCTCACTATTTGTCAGAATCTATGTAAGGTCACAATGGCATTGTGGATTTGTAAGGTAGTGGAGATTTAACAGTAATCCAAAAGTTAGAGAGATAAGGAGGAGAGAGAAATTTAGAAAACACTTTTAGTTGGTAGAATCTCTATTCTCAACTAAAGTGGTTTTTTTTTTTTTTTGATTTGTAATGGGAATGGTCTATTGAAAGTTAGCAAGAGAAGAAAGAACCTTGTAGAGGAAAAAAGAGGGATGGGGTTGGGGTGCATATGCTTATAGTTATTCTTTTGTTTTTGTGAAGGAAGGGAAAAAAAAAGGGAAGAGGAATAGTAGTATAGTGGTAGTTATTAGCAATAAAACTCGTAAAGTTAATTATCCGGTATATATACTTCTTTCATTTTACGATGATTGTCTTACTTCTCGTTATGGTGCGTTTATATTTATGATTGACTATGATTATTTATTCGTTCAGTGCTCTTTCAAGAAATGTATTCTTACGCTTTGTCCTCTTCACTTATTCGATTAAATTAGTGTTTGACTCATACAAAACTAGCTCAAAACTTTGCTAGCAGCTTACTAACTTGATTTTTTGCTATCGAATGTTGACTTTTAGAGTTATGTAAACCCATTAAAAGATTGTGAGTCAAGGACATATTATAGAGGATTATTATTTGTGAATGGAGCGAGAATTAAATATAAGTTGCTTTTTAGCTTTGGAGTTCATTGTCAAACGGGTATTTTATTTATTTATTTATTCTACTGTAAATAAATTAATTAGTTTATCAAATGCTTTAAGAGGGATGGTGATAGTTTAATGTAAAAATTGCTAGTTTTGGGACCATCGAATGGAATCTGTGGAAACACATGGTTCACAGCTGTCGGTTCTCAATCTCCAATGACAGTCACCATCTTTTTCCTCTTTAGTTTTGGGGGATAAATTGGTAGGACAACCCTAATTACTGCCTAATTTTAACTGAAAACTCTGCACATTTTTAAAATTTAGTAGGCCTTATTTTTAGAGCAGAGCAGAGACCATTTACAGACATTACAGTACCAATTTTGGTGAATGAAACTATAAACAAGCAGTAACTTTTCAAATACTGCATACCAGTTCTGTAATTCAATAGGGTTTTAATTTCTGAAATTCCCTACCTTCAACTTGATGTGAACATTCCACATTCCTCTTTTGAAACCACCATAGTCTTTTGTCTAGTAGCTTTTAAATATGGAAATTGACTAAGGAGGATCGGAATGGAATGTGCTATATGTAGTCGTAAGGGAAATGAATAACAAGTTTAAAGTAAAATTACATACTCAGTACCATGTAATAAAACCAAACAAAATTCTCTCCATAATACAAGTATTATGTTGAAGAAAGTATTTCAGACTTAGGTTATTGGATTGCAGCACAAAAATAGTCCTTTTCATATAAAATAAAAACCGATACATCTAAATTGTGCTCATTGCAGATAAGGGTTTCCCCTGCTGAATGATTGACAATCAACCCAAAGGAAATGTTGGTATAATCACTCTGTCATCTCAGGAAAACGGGACTTTGAACTCTGGCTTTCAGCTCCCTAAATCAGCTGAGCCTGAAATGCAACTTTCAGTAATTTGTGGGGGGGTTGAACAGGCAGCTAATAGCGACGTTGCAGCATCTTTTTTCTCTGCGTACCATGTACCTTGGCTTCATACAGCTTACTAACACCGTTAATGTAATCCGGAGAGATCTTTTGGTTAGATGTAAATAGAAAAAATTGAAGTTCCACTTGTTTAAAGAGGGACTAGTTAAGCAACTTCCTTTACAAGATGGGAAGTATAACCTCTGATTACCAGAAAACCACTCTTTATGCAGTCACCTGTATCCTTCAACAAACTGTTTAAGTTTATCATCTTCGCCTGCTGCAGGAAGCCACTCAGTGAGTACCTCCATGGTTATATAGTCAGGATGACAAGCCAATTCAGTCATTTTACCCATAAGCTCTAAAGCTTTATCAAGCTTATTCTGGTCTCGTAGGCCTTTGAATAAAGCATTGAAGGTGCTTGAATCTGGGCCCACGCCTTTGGCTATCATGTCCTCAAAAAGAGAGAGTGCTTCCCCCAACTCATTCTTCTGGCAAAGAGCATCTATTAAGACATTGTATACTACAGTGTTGGGAGGAGTCCTGGTGGATGAACTCATTTTCCTAAAAATTTTCATGGCTTCATCAAGCTCTCCTGCCCTGCAACATGCATAGATTAGTGCTCCAAATGTGACAACTGTAGGAGCAATCTTGTTTTCAACCATTTGTATAAGCAGTCTGCGAGCTGGTTTCAGGTCCCCGGTTCTGCTGAAATATGATATCAAAGTATTGTAGGTGATACTATCAGGTTCAAGTCCAACCTCTTTCATTTCCTCCATCAACTGATGAGCTTTATCCAACTTATTCTTTTTGCAAAAGCCGTTGATCATCACATTATAACATCGAATGTCAGGGAGAAATCCAGCACTTTTCATCTCGAATAAAACTGACTCAACATCATCCATAAGCCCTGCTTGGGACAAACCAGAGATCAGGCTATAGTACACAATGGCATCTAATGCACATGTTTGTCTTATTTCTTTGAACAACTCCATTGCTTTATTGATATTATTTACACCACAGAAACCACTAATTAGCGTAGTATAAGTTACTTTGTTTCCTTTTAACCCTTTTCCTTCCATCTGACGGTAGAACTTGAGCGCGTTACCAGCTTTACCATCTCTGCACATACCACCCACTAAAGTATTAATAGTAACAACATTTGGTTGAACTCCTTGCTTCTCCATCTCATCAAACAATTCAAGAGATCTCTCAAGCTCATCAACTTTACAAAATCCATCAATCAGACAATTATAAGTGCTACTTATAGGGGAGCATTTACCTTCTGAGATCATCTTTCTCATCATAGCTAAACCTTCTTCTGTACGACCAGCTTTACATAGCCCGTTGATAAGAGTATTATAGATTATTACATCCGGCTCAATGTGAGCACCTATCTTCCCGCTCCTCATTTTCTCAAACAAATTTATCGCTTCATCAATCTTAAAAGACTTGCAAAGGTGATTGATACTAATCCCAAGAGTCACAACATTAGCACTTATGCCTTTCGCAAGCATATCTTCCAATAATACTTCCATTCTTTTAAATTGGCGGTCTTTTGCCAAACCTGTCAACAAAGCATTATATGGTGCAACTTCAACAGGTCCATCCAATTCCATGAAAGCATACAAAAGCTTCCAAGCCAGGTCAATCTCTCTAGTCCTACAGAGTTCATTAATCCATCGCGTCAACAGAATAGTATCAGGAAACACGCGGTGTCTGCCAAACTTCAACGCTAGCTCCACAAGTTCCTCCCAAGACAACCCCTTTCCATGCTTCCTAGCTTCCAACATCACCGAAAAAACAATCGCAGCAGTGTTTGAATTTGGCGGGAAATTCACATTTGGTTGGAGCATATCGTCGAGCACCTGGAGTGCATCATCAAAACGCCCGTTTCTAAAGAGCTGGTCAATCACCACATTCCGAACATGGGTATTCTTCATCTGGGATTCTAATTCATCATAAATAATCATTAATTCCTCAATTATTCCAACCCGCCCTAAACATTGAATGAAAAGAATAACAGAATTAACCGTCAAAGGAACACCCATCTCTTTGGAAGTGTTAAGAAGGTCGAAGAGCTTCTCTTTCCAACTGGGTTTTCGAGAAGCAAGCTCAAAAACAGCTTGAAATGCAGAAGAAAGCAGATTATCATCTGGGCAAGGAGAATTGGAGCGAAGGTGTTCGACGAAATTGAGGGCTGTTGAAGAATCGCCCAAACGACGAGTGATTTGGAGGATGTGATTGGAGGAGAGGGAATTAGAATCTGAGAAGAGAAGATTAGAAAGCTGTTGGTTTGTCTTCCAGTTTTCATTGTCGTTGGATTTGAGGATTTCGACGATTTGAGTAACGATTGAAGAAGATGATGAAGAGTCTACTTTAGGTGGTTCAGCATTGTAGGGTTTTTCGATGGATGAGTGAAGGAAAGAGGCGTAAATTTGAGGGTTTTGGTGTTTGAGTAATCGAAGGAGTTTAGAGCAGATTGGTGCTCTTGATGCGATGCTCATCTTTCTCTGTTTTTTTCTCTGGGGAAGAAGGAAATAAATTTTGGGGGGAAGTCAAATTTGAAGACACTACATAAAACGGTTTGCTTACACCCACAATGGTTGCTGAGAGGTTGCGGTGCGGTTATGGGCGGGTGTATGGTGTACGCTTGATAACGTGTGCACGATACACACACGATTACGGTAGCTAAGGCCTAAGGGCGATACATAATTACATATTGAGGAATGTTATCGACTTATTTGTTATTCCCCGGTTAAATTATTATATATGAATGTAACTGAGTTGGATTGCACTGTTATCTGTGTATAGAGGAAAATATTTATTGATATTTGTTATGTCAAAGATTAATGTACCAATCATTTCCCACATGTAACGGCACAATGATATAAACTCGGGTGCACTATACTAGAATTGATCTAAAAGAATGATGAGTTCATCCTTGTGGTTGAGAACTTGAGATAGCCAACTGTACGAGTAACATTAAACAACTCAAGCCATAATTGCTACCTTAACAAAGGAGATAGGTTGATATAGGTGTGAACTTTGTTGGAGATTGGAATTATTTCTTTTATACAAATCAGAGAAAAGTTCCTAATAGAAGCTCCTAATAGAAGCAGATAAAATAAATCATTAAGACATTCATTTTGATTTTTGACTTTGAAGATCATAAAAATTAATTAAAGGATACATCATACAAAACCATATTATTATTGGACATGATAATTGTCAATTCTAAGACTCTGTAGATATCATTGTGCCAACAGTAGCAATGTCAAAATCACACACGACCCTTGTCAAATGTTGTCACAGCAAAGGTCAAAAGTCATGTCCATGACACTTTTTTCTGGAGGAATCTCAAAATTTGATTAAAGTTGAAGTGGAATTTCTCAAAGTGCCAAATAGCTTCAAGGTCGCCCATGATTGCACTGTCCTGTGTTATTATTAGCAAGTCATTCTCATCAGATTCTTTAGAGATTACAGGAAACTTTCAAATAAACATTCAAATAGTAAAATAAACTTGTAAGTCAATGTATTTCAATCATCAATATTGAGTTAGCCTACCTTTAAATGATACTCCGTAATGTACCGGAGCTTAGACCTCATCTTACGGAGAGAACCTGCGGATATTACATGTAGAAAAAAAAAAAAAAAAAAAAAATTAAGAAACTTCTGATTGGCTGATTTAATGCTTCGAATATATTCATACAGGGAATGAGCCTATTTAGAAGACTGAAATGGAGTCGAATACAAAATAAGAATCTCCGTGATCAAATCAAATCTCTTATTCTCATAAGGTTTCTACAGCCGAACTACAGTTTCTGTTATGCCTCTTAGCAAAATTACAGCACCAAACGACTTACAGACTTACAAGCTGAAAGAAAACACTATCCTCTGTTTCTGGCAGGGTGCTTCAGTGTCATAGCTGAAACTGATACAACATGCTCACTTTTACTAGCACTCTACTGATATAACATCCAAATTATACTATCAACAGAAATCAGTGGAGACTGGAGACCTCTTGTCAATATGAGGAGCCATTTTTTTTTGTTTTGGATTGTCGAATACGTTTTGTTAGTCGTAGCAATCTATGAGGTGATTTTGTTTTTCTCCATCTTTTCAACAGCTTCGGCTGCAGCAGAGGCAGCTTTATCCAATCCCATCTGTTTAAGCTCATCCAAGAAGCCACCAACTTCTGAAGCACTGATTTTATATGGGCTGTGGTCAGGTCCAGGGAATGAACCACTTGTCACTTCATCCTTGTACTCCACAAGGGCTTTGTTGATCACATCTCCAACGTGTGCATATTGCTTGCAGAATTTAGGAGTAACCTGCAATTATTCATTGAAAAAAAAATGGCAATAAACCATCTATTCTACTTCTATTTCATTTTAGGGGTGGCGGTGGCAGAATGTTCGAGTAGCACAATCTAACCTTTGCATGGTGAGGGTGTTGCAGCATTCCCAGGAGATCATGATACACTAATACCTGAAATTTAAGAAGCATTTGGTAAAAGAGATCATATATGATTGGATGCATTTTGCATATTTCATGGAGTTAGTCTACAATAAAATTAATGAAATCTCATTCAGTCTTTTTTTTTTCCTTTCTTTCTTTGAATGACAGACAGGGCAAATAGTTTAGAGGGCAGGGGTGGTGAAGAGGAGAGTCAATGCCACAGTTCCTTTTTTTAGTCGAATCTCAGAAATGACATCTAAGATTGAAATAAATTTCCTTCTTACAGAATCATTTTAGCTTTTTAATGATTGAGCATGACAATATTAGGATAACATCAAGTGAATCAATTGAACTTGAAAAAAATCCTGGTGTAAAAACAAGAGCATAGGCAATTGAGTAAGTTTTATCTGAATTTAGTCTGAAAACGGTAAATTTTATGGGACCACAGAAAGAGTGCATCATACTAAACAAACTTGGCAGCAGAATTCTGCATCTTTATGATGAAATTGTTTGAAGCATGGGGAGAATGAAGAAGGAAAACAGCATTCTGCATTATAGAATGGTAGGCTTCCTACAAGTAGCGAAGAATTGATTGTATAGTTTTCTAATTTTTGATGCAAATCAGAGGGACCATAATTATTATAAGGCCATCCATAAGTCCACATCAGTGCTTTAAGAGGAAACACTTAACTTTGCAGTCTGCAAGAGAGGTCAAGCAACTGAGCCGATTTATTAAGCTAATAAAAGAGGTGCATGAAATCACATAAATTAGTTTCCTATCTTTATTTCTCTCAATTTCTATAATTAATTCTCCTTGAAATAACTTCTTTATCTTAATTTCCAAGTTGAAGAGGAATGTTTGGGTAGCCTTTCATGTGAGAAAGGTCAGAATGGAATTTAAAGCATTTAGAATAAGAGTTTCATTGAATAACTGGTATGTTTCTATAAAACAAAAAATAAAAAGAACCTAGTCATCTGCATGCAGCAAGGAATTCAATTGAAGAGCAGGTAGTGTTCAAATTAAGCATTAGAAAGGCAAACAATCCAAGAATTTTATTGACATGGCAACTTCTTCTTTTTCATTTCTGTTCTTTGGTAATTTGGGGGGGGGGGGGGGGAGGAATTACAGGATGATGAGGATTTTGCTGAAGCGGAGTAGAGGCACTTGCAGTGCTTAAGGCCTAGTGCCCTACTTTTAGGTGCCAAATTCAGTCGAAGTAATTTATAGAGGCTTTGATATTTTAAACAAATGTCATGAATCTCTCATTCAATTTATAAGTAAGGTAATAATGATGCATGCTGGGAAAATCAGTTAATTACAATTGTGAAAAAAAAAGGGCAACCTAAGATCACAACAGTAGAAATTTTGCTGAAATTTCCATGTTTTCAATAATTAAGGTTAGTCCCGTACAAGTCAAAAAAGGATTTTTCAGTAATCTTACACAAGAAAAAAAAAAAAAAAACTATACTATAACATGAATGACCACCTTTCTAATCATGACATATTGACATGTGTGCTTGACTCCACCTAGGTTCGAGCACAGGCTTCTTATCTTATGACAGCACTTCAAGAACCCTAATACCTTGATGCACCTTGCACATACACACCAGGTCACCAGGAAACCCATTGCCTCAGGCCCTCAGTGCAGGCTCATGCCTTCTTAAACAGTGGGTCAGTAAACGAGTCTGGTTTGAATTCAAGGGGAGGAAAGGAGCATAAAGTCAACAAAAAAGGGGTACACTACTATTCTTTAGTATTGAAGGGACACTGCAGATGAATTAAGAGAGTTGAGGGATGAAAAGAGTTATGTGCAGTGTGGAAGACAAACTAACTGGAAAGAACCATAGGTCAACTAAAACCAGGCTTGTAATTAGCACAAGAGTGTAAATTTTATGGTAATAGTAGGCAATGGCATGTGAAAAGATGTCCAGTAACAAATGAATGTATATTCAAAATTTACTAAGCAAAAAGCAAGATGATGAACTCTAAAATTCTTCAAACTAAAACACAAATGCATAACGATAAAATGTCAACTCATTGACCTTTCAATAATAAGAAACAAACCTGCCCACTGCAAAATGGTCCAGCTCCAATACCGATAGTAGGAATTCCTAAAATGGATGTTGCTGCTGCAGCCACTGGTGCAGGAACACATTCCAAAACAACAGCAAAACACCCAGCTTCTTGCAAAGCAAGTGCAGTCTCTACAACCTTCACAGTACCACATTCAGCGCTAACATATATCAAGTGTATGGTCACATGGGGTGAGGACTGAGGAGTCTATCAGAAAATACCTTAACAGCACTGGAAATGTTTCTCCCCTGAGGCCTAAATCCTCCAAGAACACTAATGGCCTGCGGTGTCAATCCTACATGCCCAATCACTGCAATTCCAGCTTCAACAATAGCTTTTGCTGCTGTAATTCTAGAAGGTGATGCTCCCTCCAATTTTATTGCATCCATTCCTCCCTCTTTCAAAATTCTGACAGCTGAATCAACTGCCTGTTTTAATTTTACAATGCCATATCATGAACCATCACACTAATACATTCACAAACATAATACTTGTATCAATTAAGGCATCTTATTACAATGAGTATATACTCTCTCTAAACTATATTGAGCTATTGATTATACACTTGTACACCAATGAGATAAATCAGTTTATACCCTCTAAAGCTTATAGGCATTTCGTTTCTTAGAGATTATTCTATGCCTCGCTGTAAAGAGATCCCAAGCCAACTACATGAGCTATAAGGAATTGGGATTATTGGACCACTCGGAAATAGGGGTATGCAAGCTTTGGATTTTTTCAAAAGCACGATGAAAAACCATTTGCTGAAGAGAGCAGTAATCTTCCTTTCCAGGGGCCAATACTCAGCATAACAATCAAATACACTCACCTTAGGGCTTACACTTTGGATTATGATACAATAAAGCACTTGCAGAACAAATGTCTAATCTAATCTAACATACTTCAGCCCCATTTTCCCAAATGTCTAATCTAATCTAATACATTCTTAATTCTTCACCAGTTAAAACTTTTTTTTTTCTTTGATTAACCACCACTTTATCCTCTTGTGCTTTTAGCCACCAGGTCAAATATTAGAAACAAGGAAATTAAATAAACTTGATTGCACTTAACTAAACAACAACATGATTATTAATTTTATTACAGTATTTTATATTACATAAATTATCCAATTGCAATAAACATTCCTGCTTATCCAACAAGAACAACCCCACTTAATCAAGACCACCTTAATTATCATCTAATTATTACATCAATTATACAATACAATTGTAGATTCCTTTCCCTACTTTAATCAACAAGAACAACCCATCAAGCAAAAAACCAAAAAACAATGACCCAATTCACAATTCATCCTTAAAACATCAAAAAACATAATTTTTTATTTATACCTGCTGAGAGCTGGACTCATAAGTACCAAAAGGGAGGTCCCCAACAAGAAGGGGTCGATTAGCACCACGCGCCACCGCACGACAATGAACAAGCATTTCATCAAGAGTAATCGGCAAAGTAGTATCATACCCGTGAACGACCATGGCGGCGGAGTCTCCGACGAGGCAAATGTCAATTCCGGCGGTGTCGAGGTGTACGGCAGAAGGGTAATCGTAGGCGGTCACCATTGTTATGGGAATTCCCTTCTTGTGTTTCTGCTTAAGGTGAGCTAATGTTACCCTTTGTTCTGTATTTTGGGGTTTTGGACCGCCGTATACGGTGTTTTCCGGGATGTTGCTCATGCTGCGGAGGGTGAAGCGGTGGCGGAGGACGGTGGCGTGTCTTAGGAGATTGCTGAAGACCGCCATTGAAAAGGACAAGGAAGGGTGGAAGAGAGTAGTGCACTGGTGCGTGCTTGGATCGTGATGGGGTTGTTGGCCTACCAAAGTGCTAAGTCAATAATATTCTTCGTTATTTTTTGCTCTTAAAGAAAAAAAAAAAAAAAATCATTCTTTTGAAACAGAAACTATGTTATGATTCTTCCCCCTGCAAAAAAAAAAAAAAAAAAAAAAAAAAAGGGGTTATAAATCTTATGATTGTTAGTTTCTCTGTCTCTTGGTGTTACAAATAATTATTTTTCTATACAATATTATCGGAGTTTCAATGCGTCTAAACTTGTGAATAACATGAATCAACTATGTGTTGGATGATGATTGAACATATCCTTTTCTTTTAAAAAAATGTAGATTAAGAGATGGAGTTTTGATTGTCTCTAGTTTTTAGTTGCACATATTAATTTGATTTTACCATTCCAACTTACTTAGGGCCTATTCTCATTGACTGAACTAAACTGAAATGAAATGAATATTTTATAAGAGAAGGAAATTAGGAGCTGAACTGAATTGAACTGAACTGAACTGAACTGAACTGAGCTGAACTGAATTGAACTCAATTGAATTTCAACGTATGAGAACAGACCCTTAATTTATCTCAATTTAAAGGTCACATTCTATTTTCTAATCATATACAATGCACTAGTAACATAGCTACCTCAAGTCTTCACCTTTGTCACTTAACAATAATCCTAAAATTTATTTAGCCTTCAACTTGATGCCCAAACCAAGAAGCTATCTATATGGCTATGACTTTACCCTATGATGCTTTACATAGTTGCATCAAATGCATTATTTATAATTTTCAAAGCACCTTTTACATCTTCGAAATTAATATTGAGGTCTTAGGTGTTATTCGAGAAACAAACAATTTTTAAATTGTTAAATATGTTCAAGTTGTACCGAAAAATACTTTTCAATATCTTGTTGGTAACATTAAAAAGAAAATATCTTAATTTCATTGTTGACTTCCCTAAAGCAAGCAATCTAGAAGTTCTTGTTTAAGTTGGTAAGTGAATTGTCAAATTTGGATATCCACTTCGTCTAGAAAACCACTTGTATTTACAATAAGATTTTTTTTTCAACCTTCAATTATTTAAAACCATTAATAAATAAACTCAATTACCACGAGTGATAAAGCTATTGAAAAATTTAATATTACATCACAAGAGACTAATTTAGCATTGCATAAGACTTTGTAGTTGACACGTAACATTTTAATTCTTTATAGTATTTCTTGTTAACACCATAGAATGTCACCTAACCAATTACATTACATAAATAATCTAATTTGGTTATTTGGTAAATAGAGTTTTGACCAAAAAAAAAAAAAAAAAAGAAAAGAAGAGCTTATTTGACCAATGAGAGGTTGACTACATAAATCCTTTAATTTGGTTGTTTGGTAAAAGAACTTTTAAAATGAGCTAATTGAGGCAAATCGTTTAATTTGTTAAAAAAGAAAGAAGAAAGAGCTATTTAGATTAGTTGATTGAGTTATGGATGTAAAATGACACTATTATTGTAAAAAGTTACTCTAATATACATTCTTGCCCTCTAACTTTTTCTTACCCTAGTTAAGTAAAAAAAAATTGTCAATGTCTAATCTTGTCATTTTATGTGTTCATCTAACAAACAACTACATAAGCTAATTTTAACAAACAAGTAAACAACTCTCATCTCTTACCAATCTAGTAGTAAAAAATAACTAGTACAACCAGCTAATATAATCAACTAACCAATAATTACTAAACAAAGCCTTTTTGATCCGAGATTTTGAGCATCATTCCTTTAATGCCTAAATGAACAAGGCCTTGTTGATCTAAGATTTTGAGCATCATTCCTTTAATGCCTAAACGAATAAGTTCTTGTTTTTTTTGAGCTTATAGACAGTAGAATAGGTGTCAGCAGATCAGATTGAGTCAGCTAAACAAAGCAGACTTTAACAAAGTATAACATCTCTAAAGAACACTAGAATAGGTGCCGCCCTCTCGTGTCATGGGTCAATAATCAAAACAAAGTAGTAAAGTAATAATGCTAAAAACAGAAAGGTTGAAGTGGTTAGCTTGAAAGCATGGAAGTATTTGACAAATATTATGAACCAATCACACACATTAAAAAAACTGCCTTTCTTTCGGCGTGACGAATAATGTGGTCAACACGAATACCATCCACCTTCACTACTTGTAGTTTGTTGACACCTCCATTTCTACTTCTTTATCGCTTCACTTCATCATCTTCTTCAACAACTGCTCCATTCACTTTACGCATTCTCTCTCCTCGCCGCCGTAGATTTGCGACTTTCTCCGCCGCCATGACATCCGCCAACAGCTATTCTCCGGCAGACCATGTCGCCGGAAACTGGATCTCGGTCCCGGAACTCCGACTTCGTGATCATTATTTCACTGTCCCTCTTGATTACTCTCGCGTATCTGATTCATCTTGCCCTAAAATCACCGTTTTTGCTCGCGAACTTGTTGCCGGTACTTTTTAATTCAATCTATTTCATCAATTTTACATATTCATCATTGCATTGTCGAATTTGATTGCGAATTTATCATATCCTAATCAATTGCCGTTATTTTGAACAAATTTGTATTATATGAAAAATTGGTCTTGCTTTTGATGGAAAGAGTTTTGATAAAGTGAAAAAGGGCGTGGAAAGGGGATGAACTTTAAGATTTATTCTAATATTGTTTTTTCTGGGTGTGTAAATTGTGTATGTGAGTGTGGTTGCCTACTTGCCTGGTTGGATTCCACTAACAGTCTAATTTGTTGGATTATATGCTAGTTGATTATCGTAATTAGCTTTTGATTTCACTCAAGAATCTAGATTGTACGAGGGAATTTTGATAATTCGTTTTGGTGGTGGGGTAGTACTTAATACTTACCATTACAATTGTTTATAAAAAAGACATTCGATTGATTGACTACAAGTGTGTTTATATCCTTTGCTTTACTAAATAGTACTTTGTAGAAAGAATATTGACTTAAAACAACTAGGAAAATGATGCCCTGCACTCTATATCTTTGGTACCACTGCCCACTACCACAGGTCTGTGTCAATGTGTTTATGGTGCACGTGGCCGATACCCGGCATGTAATGTGTGCACACTGATCACAACCTCTCATACGATCAACTATTGCATGTGTGCATGTTTCGAGTTGAAGCTACATGGTGGTGTATTAAAGCCCTGTTCTTTTTATATCGAAAAAGAAGTTTCAAGTCGAGTGGAGTGTATATTTAATTTAAGGGTTTATGAGTTTAGATAATTTGTCTATAGGAATAAGGGCTTACTATTTGAGATGAGTGATGTTAAATTAAGCACGCAACTATACAGATTGGAGTTCCATACTTTTGGCATGTTCACTCATTTGATCCTTCTTAGAACAGGAAAACTATTAAAGGGATTATAACTTATAAGTATACAAAGTGAAACTAACGAACTTTGGCAAAGTCAATACTCTTTTTATTCTGTCTGGCTCTTTGAATAATGTGATATGTATTGCTTGGTTATGGCTGTTAATGCATTAATAGCTTTATTGTCTTTTGCCAATTTGAGGTTCACAATTACATATTTCTCCTATTTCTCTCAGCTGGTAAGGAGGATCAACCACTGCCATATCTTCTATATCTGCAAGGTGGACCTGGCTTTGAGTCTCCACGTCCTACAGAATCGAATGGTTGGATTGGTAAAGCATGTGAAGGCTATCGTGTTGTGTTGTTGGATCAGGCATGATTTATTGGAAGTTTCATTTGCAAATCCCGTTTTTATGATTAGGTTATGGTTCTTAGCTTCTTCTTGGAGTTACCTAATGCAGTATTTATACAGCGTGGAACAGGCTTGTCAACTCCTTTAACCACATCTTCTATGCGGCAAATGAAATCTGCAGAAGATCTGGCTGAATACTTGAAACACTTCCGTGCAGACAATATTGTAAATGATGCTGAATTCATTAGAAAACGCATTGTTCCTGAAGCTGGCCCTTGGACTATCTTGGGACAGGTATAAGTTGATTTTAGTGCTTATCTCTTGATTTTTTTGCATTTATAGCTTGTGCTGTTACATATCTAAGTTTTCCCTTTGTTTTCTAGAGCTACGGTGGTTTTTGTGCTGTTACATATCTAAGTTTTGCCCCTCAAGGGTTAAAGCAAGTCCTTGTAACAGGCGGAATTCCTCCTGTCGCAGATGGTTGTACTGCAGATGCCGTGTATCATGCATGCTTTGAAAAGATTTCACGCCAAACAGAGAAATACTATGAAAGATTTCCTCAGGATGTTGAAGTTGTTCAAGATATTGTTAAATTCTTGGCAAATTTTGAAGGAGGCGGGGTGCGACATTCTACAACATTTGAGTTTACTTTTCAATTTTTGAATTGCTTTTGTTGAAAACTTAAATTTGCGTTATTGTATCTTTTCTTGTCTCCTTGAATGAAGGTGCCTCTACCATCTGGTGGATTGTTAACCCCAAGGGGACTTCAAACTCTTGGTCTTTCTGGTCTAGGGGCTAGTGCTGGGTTTGAGAGGTTGCATTACATGTAAGTAGTTAGTCAACATCTCGCTTTACTTAATGTGAGATTAAAGAATTACTCTTTTAGTCATTCTATCTCTTCCTTTCTTTTTACCTTTTCCTTCTTATCCTTTGTTCTCCATAGGCTTGAGAGAGCCTGGGATCCTGTTATAATTCCAGGTGCACAAAAGCAACTCAGTTACTACTTTTTGAATGCCGTAAGTAATTCAATATACAAGGTTTTTTTTTTTTTTTTTTTTTTTTGTTACAACGACTTACATTTCTTGAGTAAATAAAAATAAATAAAAACAACAACAACAACAACTTGGTATGACAATTGATGGCTTGAAACTTTTCTGGATGGCAGTTTGATAATTGGGGGGCTTTCAGTACGAACCCGCTATATGTGATACTTCATGAGTTGATTTACTGCCAAGTAAGTTTAGTCTCTCTCTTTTTTTTTCCTTCATGTTTTAGGGCAGATGAACTTGCTGCTGTTTGTCTAGCAAAGTTTTCCATGTAAATAATGGTAAGTTATTTTAAATCTGCAGGGTGCTCCATCACAGTGGGCTGCTCATAGAGTAAGGGAGGCCAATGGAAGCAAGTTTGACGCAATCAGGGCAGCAAAAGAAGGGCGTCCTGTATACTTCACAGGAGAGGTATCTTTCCTTGATATTGTTTTCTTAGTATCATCTAGTTTTTTTTTTTTCATTGGTGTAATGGGCTAAATTCTCGCTTATGCTGTTTGAACTTTGTTTTCAAGTGTCAAACCCTCCTATTCTAGAACCCTCTTTTACTTCTCCTTTGGGTCAGCGAGTCTCTTCCTATGAAGTTCTTGTTAAATTTACAATATGGTAAATTCTAGCATGAGAGCTTTTTAATTATGCCTTGAGAAGAAATTCTATCCATTTCTTTATAAAAGTTGCCCCATAATACCCAAGTTAATTATAAAGCTCATCTTGTAACCCTTGCCTTGCCTTACAACCTTCTCACACAGAAGTTACTCATACAATAATTCTGAGTGAAGTCAGTGAATTTTGCTGCATCGAGAGTTAAACTGCAAAAAGTCTGTAACTAAGTTTTATTTGGTTACGTGCGGCCAAAGAATACTTGCTTTCCTTAGTAAAGGATTTGCTTTCTTTGTTGGTCCATTGACAATAGAAATAATTTAACGACTGATCTACAATCTGTGTTTTTCATTGTGTTTCTTGCATTTTGGAATCTGCAGTACGCAGCAGGGAACGTCTGCTCATTTAATCTAATCTGACTTGACACTCTTCTTGTATAGATGGTATTCCCATGGATGTTTGATGAAATTTCTGCCTTGAAACATCTCAAGGAGGTTGCCCACATACTTTCAGAGAATAAAGATTGGCCTCCATTATACGATGTAGCAGCACTGGAGAACAACAAGGTCTGTTTCCTGCCTTGTACATGTGATTGGATCCTGAATGTTTCTTTTTCTCCCTGGATTCTTAGCCTTCCTTGGTGATATGTATTGCTGATGTTTTAATGGCAGAATACCAGGATTCATAATTTGGGGCTTGTTTCTTTGCTTAAACTGCAGATATTTTCGATTTTTTTTTTTTTTTTTTTTTTTTTGTTTTTGTTTTTTTTTTGTGTCGCTACTTGCTAGTTTCATGTGAATACATGTTTCTGTCATGTTGTACTCCCTCGGGTTCAGATAATGCTGCGCCTTTTCATCTAACATTGCATATTGCATGACAATGATTATAGGTTCCTGTAGCAGCTGCGCTCTACTATGAGGACATGTTTGTGAACTTCAATCTGGCCATGAAAACTGCTGAACATATTTCCGGAATTAGGCTGTGGATAACTAATGAATACATGCATTCTGGTTTACGGGACGGTGGAAGTCATGTCTTTGATCATCTGATGGAGATGTTGAATGGGAAGAGGCCCTTGTTCTAAATATTTTCCAGCCTTAAGATATGTCTTTACCTAATAAATCCTGCTAGCTTTTTTTCTTTCTATTATCAATATACAGATTGGCGGATTGTAACATGTTTCATCGAGTTCATAAGCGCAGGACCATGATAGAGTGGTCTTGCTAGTAGAGAGAGGGTTAGGTCTGAATTTTGATGATTTTCTTAGAATGTAATAATATTAGTTTATGATACTCAGAAATAAGAATAACAGCATGACATGTTTTTTTACAAAATCTAGTCGAAATTGTTTTTGTGTAAAATTTACCCGACTCTACCTTTCTGTCGGCCCAGCAGAGTGCTTTCGCCGTTGGTGTTCTTTCCAAGGGCGAGTTTGTATCTGTATTCGTAAACATGTTTGTATGGGCTGAATTAACCTTAAATCTTCATAGTGACTTTCATTGAGAGACTGGTAATAAATCCCTTCTCACATTAGAATTTAGAAATCACCGTATTAGTAGTAAACCAGGCAAGTAATTGACTATATGGGTTGGTGACTTAACAAATTAACACAAAAAAAAAAAAATCCTGCAAGAAGCTACCTTGCTATCTGTATATATGCGTCATTGCGTCGACGTATTCGCCTTTCACCATTGATAATGTACACATATTAGAGAAAACGACAGAATAGAAACACACAACTAACATAAAATGCAAACATATGTATTGGATATTTGTAGGAAAAACCTTTCACAAACGTAATTTAGCACCAGTAGTTGAACCAACAAAGTAGGTGCAATTTTGTTGGCCTTTTTTTTTTCTTTTATTTCTCTCTAAACTCCTTCAAACGTAACATCCTCTCCTTTTTCCCTCCCTTTTCACATACACCTCTATTTCTCTAACTCTTTATTTTTCATATATCTGGCCAACGTTCTTACCTTCCATCCATCTCATCATATATACACCCATACACGTTTTATATTCATCCCGAGCCTCTTCATCTATACTCGTTCTCATCATCGAATGGAAGAGCAGCAAAATGTTCCACGCGTTGAGGTTCACCAGAAGGAATTTTCACCTCCGTTGTTGTTTTCATCAAATGATTTTGAGGCCACGACTGTCTCAGATAACGTTGATTGGTCTAGCTTTTTAATCGATTCACCAACTATTAAGGCAGCTAGTAGTTATGAATATTGTCATAATAATGATAATAATAAACGACTTGATTGTGCTGAGTTTGAAAATGATCGTCAGAGCAATGGTTCAGATTTTATAAGTGGTGGAAACAATAGTACTCTAAGCAATAATAATGTGGAAGAAAATAGAGGAAGTATTGATCATAGGTTGGAAAGCAGCAAGAGAATATGTAGTTGTAGTATTAGTAGTAGTTGCAGTACAAGATCGAGGAAGGCCAAGGTGGTTCCTCGATTTGCATTCCAAACGAAGAGCTCTGAGGACATTCTTGATGATGGGTATCGTTGGAGAAAATATGGGCAGAAATCCGTCAAGAATAACATCTATCCAAGGTACGTACATGTCTAGTTCATTCTTGGTGTACTAACAACTAATTTTCTTTTTTAGGGAACGATAATTAATGCAATTAAATATTATAAAAAAATCAATATTTATTCTCTATGGTCATTCTTATTCTTCCTTTTTTTTTCCCTTAACTAGTTCCCCTTATTTTCTAATTTGATGATCGATATTTCTATATTAATAGGTTTTTAATTTTCATGTTGGATTAATGATCAAAGGCTAAACAAATTATGGTTATCATACAGGAGCTATTATCGGTGCACACATTTGACATGTAATGTGAAGAAACAAGTGCAGAGACTATCCAAGGACTCTAGCATTGTCGTAACAACATATGAGGGAGTTCACAATCATCCTTGCGAGAAGTTGATGGAAGCCCTTTCTCCTCTACTTAACCAAATGCAATTTCTATCTAGTTTAACCTAAGTATTCCTAATTCATGAATTATTTAACTACTTATTATTTTAAGCTTTCCCAAACAAAATCTAATTATAAAATGTAAATGCACATATACATGTATCAATGAACATATATATACATGATAGTATATTTGTAAGCTTGTAGCCAGTTCTTTCCTAAGTTAAAAGTTAGATCGAATAGACGACTATATCCTCAGTTTTCGTTGTACACGTAATAATGTCAAAAAAAATTCTTACACGAGGTTAATTCAACAATTGTTGGGTCAATTTTAATTTATGAAACTAAATTGTAACATCATTTTTTTAGGGTTTTAATAAATAAAAATTACTTCAAATAAATATCATATTGTGATCCATGTGTGATTTTTTATTTGGATCATCATCCTATTAGGTTGGATATGTGCTCCAGTGATGAGTCCCATATATAATATGTTTTGCACAACTAAATAGTCCAAAATTGCTAAAATGAGATCTTGTAAATTTTGTCTTTGTTTAATTGATCATCAAGAATCACTACTTACACCATATTTCGCATTTAATTGATTTTTGAATGATATTCTTGTTAATAGTCCATTTCAACTAAAAGATTAAGTTAATGAATGAAGTCCATGTTCAATGTTCAATTTAATGGTTTATATAATTTATCAAATGTCACTTGAATTTATTAGTGACCATCCAACATTTTTCCTACTTTATGGGTGCAAGTATGGGACCTATGCATGGCATTTTCAATTTTTCATAGGTTCTATTCCATCCATAAGTTAACATTGAATGCATGGCTAACTAATGTTTTTGTTCACGGCCTCATTCAATCAAAATTAGTGGTCCTACACCCATTCAACATTCAATAAGATTTTAATGCCTACTCTTTTATGGAAACCATGTAGCATAATCAGCGGCGATATGAGAGTGAAACCAGCCATCAAGACACAATACGATAAAAAGTTTGAGATAGATGACATAGATATTATTCTCTTCGTTCCTAAATAATGACTCGTCGCCTTGGTGAAGACTAAAGACCATAGCCAACACACCACTTGTTCATGAATTATGACTTCAAATTTGGGGTGACTAATGAAGCTAATCTATAATTGGGCCAAGATCCAATAAAACACATCACTACTTAGCTTCAATACTGTATTATGATAGATACCTAAAACCTCATTTTAAGTGACACGAAATACTTATTGACTGGCCCATCATTCTGATCCATAATTAATAGGCCCACATCCTTCAAACGGTCAAACTTTCAACATTTACGGACGGATCCGGTATTCTTAAAGTACACGTGTACAGCTGACCTGGCCACCTTATAAATAGTACGGAGATGGGTCCTCCAGGTGAGATCTTACATAGTTACGTTACGCCTTATACGCGGGTCGGCCGGTATACACGTTTTTGCACGTGTCCCACCGCTTATACTCCGTTTTTTAAGTGGATTGCTAAATACCGCCAACGTTTTTTATCAAACCGTCATTTTAAGTAAAGGGACTTTCTTGCCCTTAATAAATATTTACCCAATTATTTTTTAAAAAAAAATTAATTTTAATTAATTGACTACAATTACCGCGTCACTACCTACATCGGACCACCACCACTAATAGATTGACCACCACCACGAACAGAAAAGTTATAGGAAATGGATGATAATCACGGTGATTCGCCGGAAAACCAACCGCAATCTCAACCCTCGGCTTTTGAACAAGTACGAATATTTATTTAATTAGCTAGTTGTATACTAATATGATTATAAATTATGCTGAATTTGGAAAAAAATTATAAATTAGCTAGTTGTATACATATGTTGCCGTAAAACTTGATGCAAAACCGGTCAACCGGTTCACGAAACCGGTCAACCTCCCCGGGAATCGGTTTTATGCTGCGGTTGACCGTAGTTGTTAATCGTTTTTTACCACCGGTTGGCCGTGTTGGTCCACCGGTTTGCCACGCAGGTTACCGTGGGCAACCGGTGCTGAAATCCGGTTATCCTTCACGGTCAACCGGTGGTAAAATCCGGTAACCCATGTTGGTCAACCGGTTTGCAGCTCCGGTTGAGTGTGGTGACGGTGCTTTTTTTTTTTAATAAAAACTAATATTATTGTATTAACTTTTATACTAGTATGAATAATATAAATAAATATTATTCTATTTAAGATTATTATTATTATTATAATTATTAATGTTATATTGTTCGTTATTATTAATTAAAAGAATTATTTATTTGTATCATGCGTCATTATCAGATTACGCGGTGATGGTGTTGATTATAGCCCGCATTTTCAGACTAGAGAAGTTTTCCCGACCTATCAAGCAGCTGTTGATTGGGCTAGAGAAATTGCCACTCCATTAGGGTTCTTTTTGACAAATTCATCGTATAAGAAACAAAGAAATGGGCTTCCAATTAATTACATGAAATGTGATCGGGGGGAGAGAAACAGAGGGGAAAATCGGGACCATGAAAATGCCACACATAAGAACACGAAGAGCAAGGGTTGTAAATGTACGTTTCAAATCTCGGCTCGATGTTTGCGGGACATGGAAGGATGGATAATTAAATCTAAAAAGGGCTTGAAAGGCATGCATAACCATCCGCTCATGGTATATCGAGAGGGTCACCGGCAGGTTAGTGGTCTTAGTCCAGCTGCAAAGACGCTTGTTATTGACATGAGTTCTGCTGCAGCCAAGCCGCGTCACATTATGGCAGCCGTGAAAGAGAAGTTTCCGAATGAGAGCCCTAACAAGAGACATATCTACAATGTGAGAATTCGTGCTCGTCTAGATGCTTGTGAAGGTCGAGATGTTGCGCACCAGTTTGTTCACTTGGCAAATGAGTACAAGTATGTCACTTGGATAAATGTTGATCCAGATACCCGTGCTATCACCCATGCTTTTTTGGCCCACCCAGAGATGGCTAATATGTTACGTACGTATCCACATGTCATTGGTATGGATTCTACGTACAAGACCAACAGATATAACATGCCATTCTTCGAGCTCGTTGGTGTCACGCCTACAAATCAAAACTTTTTGATCGGATATGCCATATTAAAGAGCGAAACTTATGAAAGCTACAAGTGGGTTTTGGAGAAATTGCAGTTGTACATTGGATTTGAGGTGGCTCTGAATGTTTTTGTTACTGATTGTGAGTTGGGGTTGATGAAGGCTTTGAAAGAGGTCTTTCCAAATTGTGCGCATTTATTATGCGGGTGGCACATTAACAAGGATGTATTGGGAAGGGTGCACATTTTGTGTGGGAAGGATATGTTGATGGCCGAGAGATTTCGAAATGGTAGATGGAGAAGAGTAATGTGTTCGACCACTATTGCCGAGTATGAGTTAGAGTTGCAAACTATGAAAGCGACATGGGGAGCATCGAACCCACCACTGGTGAAATACGTCGAGGATCAATGGTTGGTCCACAAGGAGAAATTTGTGCGAGTTTGGACGAATTTGGTGATGCACTTCGGCAATGTCAACACATGTACAGTAGAGTCCTGGTATGTCTCTCACCCGAGCCATCAATACGATCAAGCGTCATTTTGAGCCTACCCAACTGTCGTCATAACCAAAGAACAAAATATTTACAATCATTTATAATAATAATGATAATAAAATAACTATAATAATCATAACTGTAAAAAAAAACAATAACAATCATAATATTAGTCCCTCACTTTTTCATAATAATAATGATGATAAAAATTAGTACTGTGACCATTGTCCCTCACAGGTTCATTGTCCCTCAATTTTTCATAAAATATCATTGAGAAACAGTAATTGCTTGATATTCGAGCAGGGAGGAGCATCATGTGATCTATATGCAGTGTCAAATAGAAGAAAAAAATACACAATTTAAGCTTTTTTCTCCAGCCAATATGCAACATTATCCATTAATGTGGAGTTCCTTTCAACATTAAGGCCGCTTAATTGTGCCATGTATCTAGATGCATAAATTCTAGCTATTACCCCAAAGTCAACACCGAATAGATCAAAGTTGTCCATTCTAACTAGACAATACCTAACCAAACAGTGACCAAGTCCTCTTCATTTAAAGACTCCATCTAACTAGAACCTTAAACTACTTTTAAGTCCACAACCTTAAATTAAACCTTCACTAGATGTTTTCCTTTATCTTTCCTTGTTACAATTACAAATATTAAAACTTTAAATGATCATATTAATACAATTGCATCCAATTCAAAGATGAAAGCATATTTTATAGTGCTCATAGTGTTAGGCTGCCTTGTTGCTCTAATCAATTAGCAAATATGTAGGGGAATCTTTCCATGAGGAATGTGTAGGTCTACCATACTGCCATTGCTTTGGAGTTTGGACTCTTTGAAGTTGTTGAGGTTGGTTTTAGAACCTTAAGGACAACTTTGTGGTAAATAATTAAATATGTGTATATAAACAACTTTGCTGATGTTCACTTGATTGGTTATGTCTTCTGATATGATTCCATTACTTGCTCGGTTTTTTTGTGGCCTTGGGAAATTATCTAGACACGTCAAATATTTGTATACATATTGTAAGATGTTTCTCTACATTTATCCTAGGGCCACCAATGATGTCTCATATTGATGAATTTTGACACTGATGCTTGATGCTAACAGAATTTGACACCTCTATTTCATATTTAACTTTTCACATTTGTTGTTGGTCGGTCCAAAACAAGGTGTTACAAAAGAAGACTATTGCATGAAGAATGGGATGCAGATGAGCAGGCAAAAGGGCTTCATAAAGTAAAAGGCAGCAGGAATGAGAGAAGTTCTACAGCCAACAATTATGTATCAGAAGATGGTAGCACTCCACGGGGAACAATGAGCCGCTTGTTACCGGTGACTTGTGAACCTGTGACCACCGCCATTAACCGGTTATGGTTGCCGTTGGCCGGTGACAGTCAACCGGTTTTCCACGCCGGTTAACGGCGACGGTCACACGGTTACAATCGCCAGTAACCTTAATTCGAATTTTAAAAAAAAACAAAAATAAAAAACAACCACCGTCGCTGGTACCTAACCGGCGTGGTAAACTGGTTTGCCGCTGCCGTTAACCGGTTTCGATCGCCGGTAACCGCAATTGGTCAATCGGTTTTACACGTCGGTTGCCAGCGATCGATTATTTTTTTTAAAAAAATACAGAAAAAAAAAACAGAAAAACTAACCTCTTTTGTCGAATTTCCAGCCATGAAAACACCAGGCCACCGCCGCCTACTGCCGCCTTCCGCCGATTGTGGTCACTAAGTGTGTGATTGTGGTGGTTGTTGAGAAAGAAAGTGGTGGTTGTGGTGTTTGATGGGGCAGTAAAAAATAAAAGGGTAAAAAATAAACGAAAAAAATAATTAGGGTTTAATAAGGGTAATAACGACATTTTGCTTGAAATGAGGGCGATTTCGATCATTTTGGATGGCGGTATTTATCACCCCCTTTTTTAATTACTACTTCTATTTCATACGGAGTATTATTTTCAAACAGAGGTAATTTTTTATTTTTTTAAATAAATAGATAGTTATTTTTTTTTGAGCAAATATAAACAGATAGTTATTTGGTAGAATTTGAATTAAAATTTTCAAAATGTTTTTATTATGAGTAATGTTATATATAGCCCTTAAATAAAATTATGTGCAAATCATTGTAATTAATATTAATTTTTCATCAGTATTTCCCCTTTTAGTTTCTTATACATAGCCCTTAAGGCTATATATATAAGGGCTATGTTTATCATTTTTCATTTATTAAACGAGTCAATATTTTTAAATTTCTTTTTTTTTTCACAGTTGGGTAAAAAAAAAATTCTTTTTTTACGGTATATCACTATATACGTACCAAATACTACAATTTAACTTCATCATGCATGAATAGGTCTAGTGATAAGGTTTGCATCTCATAATTTAAGGTTTTGGGATTAAACCCCTCTAGAGGTAATTAGGGATGGAAATTCCCTTATATTTCGTCCTACTCTCAAAGTTCTTAGCCCGCAGACACGGATCAGAAGGATTTGTGAGAGATTTCAGTTTTGTAGGGTCTTTCTCCGTATTATACAGTACTAGAAGAGGGTTAAAAAAATCGTTATTAAAATTCTAAACAAAGCATAAATTAACATGTAAGTGATGTAACTCAAGGTGAAAACAACCTTAAAATAAGGATAAAGTATACGAGTGTATTATTGAGTTTTGAAAGTTTCCTCGTCTATTCCACTGGAATATGATTTGCTTTTTGGTACGGCAACAATTGTAAAGAATCGACGAGGATTGCCTTTTTTATTTTCAAAAAAATGAGTTACACTGTGATGACTACTACTCTAGGAAGCACGGAAACGGACTCGGACACGGACACGGACACGACACGGATACGGGAAAACGGCAATCCTGAAATAGGGGACACGGGTACGGCGTATAACAAGTCATATAATATATTAAAAAAACGAGAATTTGACAACTAATTCAATAAAACACTAAATAATTAGCCTCAAAACACACAATTTTAATTAAACAAGTAAATGAACTAAGTGTACGGACATAGTCTCATACATATCAAGAAACCATCAAACCAAATACACTAGTTTATATCAATGAAGATAGTCATGATTAACCATAACAAGTCCAACAAAACACATTATTCACATCACAGCAAAATTAGCAACAACAAGAACCACAGAAACTGAATTTTCTACTTATAGAACCACTAATCAAAACTAAAATTAGAAACTTCTCTCAAAGCATCAAAGTTTTCTTATATAATAAAACCAGATCAAAGAAGCTTAATAACACAATTATAAAGCCTCGTCATTCACGTTGGTAATACACTCTTTAATCAACCAAATATGAAGGAGATAAATGCTATCAAAGCTCCAAGTATAAAAGCAAACATAATTACACAAATCCCAGAACAATAGGAATCAAGACATAGTGAACATTGCATCTTCAAAACCCCAGGATCCACATGCTACATTTAATAAACACAAATGAAAAAAATAATCCAGAAGCAATATTCCACTGATCTCAAAGAAGATACATTTAAATAAAATTAATTAAATTAAAAAATCTAACTTTTCACAAATTTAGAAAGAAGTGTATGAGGTATTCTTGTGCACATGCTCACCAAACCCAGATTCCAAAAACTCAATTATTATTATTATACTATAAAATCCCTTACAAAATTTCTTCAATTTCAACCAAAATTTCTTTGATACCCACAAATTTCGTCCGAGACATCCAATTACCCTTCAGCTTCAACTTCTAAATTTCTAATTACATGATTCATGAAACTGAAATGCAGAAAATTAATTGAATTTAAAAAAAAAAAAACGTTGAGAACCATACCTGGGAGTCTGGGACAGCAAGTCAGCAACGACAATGAGAACGGTGGAGTGGTGGGTGGTGGCTGAGGACGAACAGCGGCAATTGAATGAGGCAGAGGCAGCGACGACAGTGACTGAGTGACACCAAGCGTGGAGCAACGACGACAGCTGACTGTGTTGATGCGAACGGTGGAGTGGTGGGTGGTGGGTGGAGCAACGACGACAGTGACTGAGTGATGACAATGGTGATGACTGATTTCGCGTGAGGCAGAGAGGAAGATGAGAAATTGAGAAGTGGAAATAGGCAGGGAGGCAGAGAGGCAAAGCAGAGAGCAAGACTTTAGGTTATTTCCCGTGTCATACCAAAACGGCCCGTGTCTAAGGGTGACACGGCCCGTGTCCAAAAATCAAAAACGTCAAAAATAAACCGGACACGGTTTTTGGAGTGTCCGAGACGTTTTGCCCCGTGTCCCACGCGTGTCCGTGTCCGACACGCGTGTCGACTCGGACACGCCTGAACTTACGAGTGTCCGTGCTTCGTTGCTACTACTCCATATGAAAAGTCAAATCTTACACGTCTATCCCACTTTGATAACAAATCCTTCCACTCGTTACGCCTACAAAAGTACAAAGTACAAAGTATTACAATGGCAACGTGGCCAACGTCTAACCATTTTATCAAAGCATTTGTGTTTTTAAAAAAACTTCAGTATTTAAAAATTTAATATTAATGGTACTTGAAAAAAGCAAATGAGAGTATTATTTAAATCTTAAAATTGGACATAAGGGATGGAGGGAGTATAAAAGATTTTTCTACATCTTTTACTTTATTTTTGGTGTTCTACCTTTGGTCTAATTCGGATTTTAGGCTCAATTTCGAGTATTAATTAAGGGCATGTTCTGATTCACTGAACTGAGCTGAATTGATTGGAGTTGAAATGAACTGAACTGAAATGAATATTTTACGAGAGAAGAAAATTAGGAACTAAACTGAACTGAAATTAAGCTGAAGAGAACAAACCTGAGATTCAAACCTTTTCAATTTTATTTTAAAATATGTGGATTATTTTTTGGTAGATTTTAAATTAACATTATAATTCATTATAAAATTTTGTTAAACCCGTGTGTGGCACAGGACTTAATCTAGTTTTATTAAAAATTAAAAGCTAAAATTCTATTTTTTTTTTAGGGAATAAAAGCTATAATTCTTAGGTAATATTAATAATTTGTTCTTGAGAAAAAAGTAAATGCCCAAAATCTTTAAAAACATTGCAAAAATCTGCTTTAAAAGGAAACAATTCTAATACTTAGGTAAGAAAATCACAATGTAATTAAAGTCATATATGTGTAGCACCAATAAGACAATATTAAAACCCCAAAGGCCTCAACCACTTTAAAAGCATTAGTATTAAATTATAGCCAATGACCAACATGATTAAGGGGTAATCATCTTCCTTATCTCATAAAATTAGTTTATATAAAGCAGAGAGATTAGCAAAATAATGTCAAGATTAAGAGACAAAGCAAAGAACTTTGTATCAGAGAAAATCGCAAATATGAGAAAGCCAGAAGCAAGCATAGATGATGTTGATCTAAAAGGAGTCAACAGAGAAGGTGTTACATATTGTGCTAATGTTGGTGTTACCAATCCTTATTCTCATTCCATTCCTATTTGTGAGATCACATTTCATCTTAAATGTGATGGCAGGTTTGTTATTTTATAATTTGCACTTGGAATAATAATAATTTTCAATTTGTAAATCTTGGATCTTGGGAAATTCTGATTGATTCCTCTGTTTTTTATATATTTTTTTTATTGTTTGATTTAATTTTTACTCGTGTTTAGTGCAAATGTTTATTTTTTTTTTATTTTTTTTTGAGAGATAGTGCAAATGTTTATGAATTAGGATGATTTAGGCCCCGTTTGGTTTAATGTAAAACATTTTTAATAGAAAATTAGTTTTCATGGAAAACATATTTTCAAGGAAAAACACAATTGCAAATTAGTTTTCCTTTGTTTGGTTGCATACAAGAAAAGTCCAAGAAAAATAAAAAAATAAGAGTTAAAATGTAAGGATGAATGAGAGGGAAGTAAAAAAAGAGATAAGGAGGAGAGAGGAAAATGTGGCTTCCCTTGTTTTTAAAAGGAAAATGTTTTCCATCATTAAGGATGGAATTTTCCACCCTTGAAAAATTATTTTCACTCCTTAACAAACCAAACAAAGGAAAATGGAAAAAAAATAGAAATTTCATTTTCTATGAAAACATTTTACATCAAACCAAACAGGGCCTTAATGAAAAATGGAGTTTTGAAATGTTGCTTTTTATTTATTTATTATTTTTTTTAATTGCTAGTCAAGATGGTTTAACAAGTGGTTTAACAAGTTATAAGTTGACTTCACATTTTGCTTAAATTGAACGTTAGATCTTGCTGCCTCTAATGCCCTTTTTTCTGGGGCATTTTTTAGGACGGATCAAGTGCTTTTTTTTTTTTTTGGTTAATTAGGAGATATAAATGGTGTTTTAAGGATAACATGTACAAATAGGAGGGAACTTTTAAGATATGTTAGGAATGATATACCCTTTATAAGGCCGTCACTAGATTTAATTTAGTTCATGTACTCATGTTGATTACTTGATGTACTCATATTAACAATTAAGATGTTCACGGGGTACAACTAAAATTGTAGGTCAATTGTTAAGGAATTACATATATATAAATGGAGACTAGATTTTATTTAATAGAAATGATTTTCCCTGTTTGACTTGGTTTTATGATGGTTTGTTGAATTATATTTATATATGAACCTGGCCTTTTGCATTTGATAGTCGAGGTGGTTAAATTGGTACTCCGGGTATGAATGTATGATGCTACATTTGTTTGGATGGTTTGATAATAGGGTCATTATACATCTAGTTTATTTTCTAAATGTATCAACGTTAAGGACAAAAAACAGTATTGTATAAATTTTTTTAACGCAATTTTAGATTAAGATTAGTTTCAGATTGACTATATATTAGCTCTTCAAGTTTGATGTAAACTAATGGCATGAAGTTGAAATTTACAGGCAAATAATATCCGGAACTATTCCAGACCCAGGTTCAATTAAAGGAAATGATAAGACAAATCTAGAAGTGCTAATGAAGGTACCACATAGTGTGATTGTTAGCTTGGCTAGGGACATCTTTAAGGATTGGGACATTGATTATGAGCTTGAGATAGGTCTCGTTATCGACATCCCTATCATTGGAAACTTTACTATTCCTGTTCGGAAAAAGGGAGAGATCAGGCTTCCCTCCATCAAAGACTTCTTTCGCAAAGGAGAAGATAACGAGGAATAAACCTTCTTTGTGAATTGTGATATATATACTCATAATTGTCTTTTATTTATACCCATTTCCTAATGTCTGTGGTCTATGTACCAACCTTAACTTGTTTTTAAGTACTAAAACGCAAAAATATTGAATCCCTGATCAAGTTGTTTATGGAGCAAAAAAAGTTAATTGAGTAATCAAATAATGCGTAATGTTTATATTTTTAATCTTTTTTAAATATTTAAAGTTATTCCTTATTCGGAAAACTAAATACGGAGTATTCAAAATAAAGATCGAGATAAATAAAATATTACAATAATCGCCTTCAAAGGAAACAATTTTAATATTATTATTATTGTAAGAAAATCACATCAGAATGCAATAAAAGTGGTATACGTGTGACACCTTTTAACATCTTAAGGCAAGAGAGCCCTCTCAACCTCTATTTATATAAAGGCCTGACCAATCCCAAAACAAGAAGCATCGCTTAAACAAGATCAATAGCAAATCATCTTCCTTAATCTCGATCATAAAAAAAAAATGGCAGGATTAATAGACAAAGCAAAAAACTTTGTGGCGGAGAAGATCGCAGATATGCCAAAACCAGAAGCAAACATAGAAGATTTTGATCTGAAAGGAGTTAACAAAGAGGGTGTTACTTACAGCGCTAAAGTTGGTGTTATGAACCCTTATTCTCAATCTATTCCTATTTGTGAGATCACTTACCTCCTTAGATGTGATGGCAGGTTTGTATATTTTCTTTTTTACACCCTTTTTTTGCATTTAAATTTTTTTTAAAAAAAAATTCTATTTTGTCAATCGTTTGATCAATGTGATATATATGTAATTGTATTATATCTTGGATTTTTGGAGATTTTTAATTGTTCTCCCCTGCTTTTTTTTTTTTTTTTTTGATTTATTTATCCTGTTTGAAGTGTAATTGTTTCTGGTGATTTGTTTGAATATGAACCTTTTGATTTTGCTAGTCAAAGTAGTTAATAGATTTCATGTTTCTTAGATGGTTTGACTCCTTAATTAATCTTTTATGCCCTTTACCTAACTAGACTTTTTAAATTTTTTTTTTTTTTTTTATTGTTGTATTGAGGTGCATCCGGTTAATTTCCTAGATATGCATCTAAATTCAACTTCGTAAATGACTAAGGGTATTTTTGGTAATTTAAAAATGATTTTGAGGGTAAATCGAGGACATTATAAAGGTATAATATGGGGCGATTTGGGGATATATTAGGAAATGATATACTCGGACAGTCGTATTCCATTGTCTATAGTATACCCTATTGATTATGGATTAATGATGCTCATTTCCTCTTTTTTGAAAGTATGATGCTCTTTTTATTTCTCTAATGTTTATATGATCAACATATTAATCAATAAAGCACTAAAGTTATTTGAATTGCTAAGAAAATATTGGAAAGTTGTCGAGGTAGATTATATTAGAAGGTAGAAAGGGCATATTTCCTTTTTACTTTCATGACTTTAATTTGCCAAAGCCTTTGATTCAGGGGAAGATTAGGAAAACAAACCCATCACTGGTAATGATAATGTAGCTTAGGTGCTCATTGTGTTTTATTTAAGATTTGTCAATATTTTTTTTGTTTGATATATCAGAGTAATCAGACTTAACAATTTTATATAGTCCAATATCCAAAAATTTTGATGATTCATTGAAAAACTAGCTGCTGCACACCGATGTTATTTATGCAATTATGCGCAGAAAATGTTAGACATGTTCTTAATTTACAAGTGATTAACACATATATATATAAGTATCATCGTTATGATCATGAATGTTATGCATTCGATCTCTAACACTAGTTAGGTCACAAACAAAAGTGTGCATAAACTTGTTTAACGCGTAATCATAGAGGGATAAGAATTAGTACTACCAAAGACTTCTATTATGTAGTACAGTGGAGGTATTATATTATGAAGATGCCAAATTTTATAAAATGGAGGGAAACATTGAAAATTCAATTTAAATATGGTTATTTGGGCTCCATGATTTGGCATATTCTTGATACTATTCCACTTTTAATTTTCTACGCAACTACTAGTAGAGAGACAAAGATTATATATTCATAAGAAAGTCAGGATTCAGGAAAAAGAAGAATGAATAAAATATGTCAGATCTCAGGCTAAGTCCTTTTCCACGTCTTTATTGATGCTGTTCTTGTACGAGTAAGTCTTAGGTTGATACTGTCCTTCATTAATTTGTATGAGACGTTAAAGGTTATCCATTATAAAGCTATTAGTCATTCCGAAATTAAACAAATGTTACCCTAGTCTCACATTAATTAAGTTTCACTGTTCGTTTGTATTAGTATTGGTGTCATTAGTTGAGGAACGATGATTGAGAATCATTCCGTGGTTTGAATGATGAACTAATGAAATGGAGTCAATTTTTACAGGGAGATACTATCCGGTACCATTGCAGACCCAGGATCCATTAGGGGAAAGGAGACTACAATGCTTGACGTGCCAATGAAGGTGCCACATAGCATCATAGTGAGCTTGGCAAGGGATATCTTTAGGGACTGGGACATTGATTATGAACTTCAGTTGGGTCTTGTTATCGACCTCCCTATCATTGGAAACTTTACCATTCCCCTTTCTTCCAAGGGAGAGATCAAGCTTCCGTCCATCAGAGACTTCTTTGGTGGAGGAGGAGGAGAAGAGGAGGAAAAGAAGGAATAAACCTCATGATGTTTGAAAGAAAAAAAAAACATACTGCCTTTTTTTATGCCTCATTTCATAGTTTCATGTTGGTTATATTTGGGAAACTCACTCTTGAGGTCTCCCTTGTACTAGTATATCTTACAGGAACATTTCGTGTTATCACCAGAATTTTGCTTGTTTTGGTGCTAGAGTTCTTGTAATTATAAACGCATTGGTTCTTTTACGTGCTATATGTTATCAACATTTCAGTGGGCTATCCGCCTATCCCTATACACCATTTGGTCTATAATATTGAGGTCATCAATGTTGATTTTTTAGCTAACTATTGTGGCATATCCTAAAAACTAGTAGGCAAAAATCTAAAATTATAATTCCCATTTCAATACGTATCAACATCACCTTCTTCTTTAGTTCTTTAACTCTAAACTTGTCAATTCTCCCGGCCCCTAAACATACCCATCAAATTCCCCTGCCATGATGGAGGATCGGACCCGCCCACTAGCAAGTCCGATCACTGATCCAAATCCGATCCGATCCACCAAAAAAAGGGGTTGCACGACTTGCATCCGCTACCTATTATGTTCCCTAGGGACATTAGTGTTAATGATCATAACCATGATAGTCCTTCGTTTCACATTTTTTAAGGTTAAGGATCCAATCATGACATTCAACAAAATCTCCCTCACCAACTTGGTTAACCAGCCAGGGTCCAACATCTCAATGATTGCTGACATCTCATTCGATAACTTGAACCGGGCTACCTTTAGGTTCAGTAACACCACAACAAGCATCTACTGCAAGGGGATCATGGTGGGTGAGGCTCATGGACCACCCGGCCGAGCCCGGGGCCGGCATACCTTGAGGATGAACATAACTGTGGAAATCATTACAGAACGGATGTTTAAGGCTTCGAGCATAGTTAGTGATCTGAGTTCTGGCCTGCTTATTACGGATACCTACAGCAGAGTTCCTGGAAGAATAAAAGTGTTGGTCATTGACTTTAAAAATGTTGTTGTAGAGATGAATTGTACAGTTAGTTTTAATACTTCTAGCCAAGAAATTCAGGGTCAAAAATGTATTACCTCCATTAAAATTTAGTTGCAACTTTGAAATATTTTATGTCTCTCAAATAATACCCCAAAGTTGCAACTAAATGTTGACATAGGTAGTAAGAGTTTTGTTGAATTAAGATTTTAGAAATACTGAATGAGTAGTATTTTTGTTTCTAGAATGAAAATACGTAGTATGTTGCTATATTGTCCAAAACTTTCAGGATAATAATGATATTTGGAAAATGAGTTTGGCACTCTTTGTTAGTAGAGCATATAGAACTGTAATCTTTCAATAGTCTACATTGGGGTCACCAAGTCTTGTTGTAAGCTCATAATTATAGCCTAAGAAGCATAGTCAGGTACATAATGTTGTATAAATTATTTTTAACATGATGCTGAAGCGTTGGTTTCAATTATAATATTTTCAATCAAACACAAAATAAAAAAAAATACAGATACAAAATTTCGATTGCGTTTATTATATCTTTTGCAGATATTTTATCAGCTAATCTATTTGACAAATTGCCATCGACGTTCCTTATAATGTTGTACAAGTTGATCTAACATGTAATCCACCAATTGTACAATTAGATGTATAATGTGTGACTGTGTGAGATATACTTCACTAGTTCACTCTATAAGCAATCAGGTGATCCAAAAGAACCCAAAAAAATGACCACAAATGTTAAAATCAAGGCCCAATTAGTGGAAGAATAAATTAGAAGAAAGTGACGGGCCGTCTGTGGTAATGGAATGGACAAGGAGGATACTTGACCAGGAACTGCAGCAAGATGACGAGTTCAAACTTCAAAAGTCAATTAAAAAAATGGGCTTCTTTGTCCTCTTTACTGATTGTGTGAGCATGACTCCATGCTTTCATACTACAATGTGAACGTGCTGCTTTTACCACTTTCACCAAATTATCATCATCTAAAACTCTAAAAAGGTTGTAGTCCGTATTAAATAAATGAGAAACTTTTCTTTTTCCATTTTCTATTTCTCTTTGGGTTTGTTAATAACTTAATATGGAGTACAAACAATCTAAAAGGACATTTGTATTGGGGATTTGGGGTAAAATAATATGGAGTAATAAAAAATATCACCCAATAAACTTGAAATGAATCGGAATCAACTTCATGACCTCAAATTTATGAGTTGGATTTCTTATTAACCTTTGTTTTTCCTAAAAATCAATGTATACTATATACTATTTGATTTAATTAATTTTTTTTATATGGTTCAATAATGAATATATATAATTTGTATTACAGTGGTTATTTTTCTCTACATTCTAAAGTCCGTTAATAGATTTTCCTCAAAAATGAACAATGAGTAGGACATATAAGTATGTAAATTTGGAATTAATTTGTCATATAATATTAATTAAGTTAGAGGAACTTTTGTTTTGGAATTACTCAATCCGTTTCATAATAATCGCAACACTTCGACCGATACACATATACCAATGCCCCATTTTGATCATTAATATTTGTAAGGAAAGGAAAATTTGTCAATTACTACCGCAAGTTAATACTAGTTTGTAAATTACTACCGCAAAAAGTTTTAAGATGTTGCGATTACTACCAAACCCCCATTAAACCCAACTATGACGTCATTATATCACTTTAACCCGTCATTATATCCCTAATCCATTTTTTTTTTGGAGGTGCTGGTTAAAGCCCTTAACCATGGTCAAACACAGGTTAAAGGGATATAATGACGTCATATTTGGGTTTAATGGAGGTTTGGTAGTAATCGCAACATCTTAAAAATTTTTGCGGAAGTAATTCACAACTTTTTTAATTTGCGGTAGTAATTTACAAATGGGTATTAACTTGCGGTAGTAATTGGCAAATTATCCTATTTGTAATTATATACTACGTATTACTCCGTATTAAGAAGTACGGAGTATAAAATGTTAATATGATGAAAATATACTTAAACTAATCCAACAATATTTTACATTACAACCTATGTTTTTTATATGGTTACAAACATAATAGTCAAAAAGTAAGCATATACATAGAGTAAAAGTCAAAATGTTACGATTATTACGAAAGGGATGAAGTGATATTAATGACTAGCTTATACACGATTGAAAAAATAAAAAAATTCCAATTTGGTGTATCACATTCAAATATTAAATGATCTAATCTTCTATTGAACATGAAACTCTATAATATATTAGCAAAAAGTTACTTCATATCAAAATTTAAGTGGATTATTGCCTACGTTTTTTTTTCTTGTCTATTGTGTGAGAGTTTTTCTTTTGCAATATCATTACTTTTTTGTCATTATTTGATTGTTAGAATTATTATTAGAACCTTTTAAAATTAGCATTGGGGGACCAATAATTTCAAGTACATTCAGAATAGTTTGCTGATCATCCTTCAAAGTGATTAACTCCAAAACAAAACTGTAGAACTCTGGTGTGTCGGGTATAAAATGTGTAATTAACGTCAAGAAGTATGAATGACACAACAACTTAATTTTTTATTTAGTACAACCTAGCTAGCTTTTGATACTAGTATAATTTAAGGGACACTGTTATATCTCCCTGTCTCTAAATATCCTGAATAAACCATATTTTGCCAATAATAACAAACCAATTTAGACAACTTGAAGTGTATTAGTATTAATTTTGTTAGTGATGCACGGTTGGTAGCATTACAATCCGGTAATCAAACTCATCATCATGATTAAATAAAGACCATTCTTCCCACTTACAACAACCCAACAAAGAAAGACTTTCCTTCATTTCAGTTTGAGTAAAGATGGTAATATTGGCTAGAAAGATGTCTAGGAAAAATTAATTCTTGGCTAGTTGTCTATTTGCAATATAACCAACTTTAGAAGAATTTAAAATAGGCAAAACCTATAAAAGAAAATAAAAATTCCTATTACCCAACTTTTTTTCTACCATTACATAATCATTTATGTTATGTATGTAACTCATACCGAATCACACCAACATTGTTAAACATGTTTATTTGAATGTTTGACAATAGGAAAACACCTGTAATAAAACAGTTGGCATAATGATTATTTAATAAACAAGAATACAAGATAAGCGAACCAGGCTAATAATAGGCTGTTACTTAAATAATCCATTTCTTATAAGTTTTACGCTTTTTTCCTCCAACAAGCTGCTACTTCAAAATCTCCAATTAAATCGAAATTACGTTTAAGACATAATGTACCACAATTTGCAAATGTCTAATACATGACCACCTACACAAAATATGTGTGATCATCCTCAGAAAAACACAATAACACACTTAAAATCTTAAAATCCCTATTTAATCTTCATATCGAATAGTAGAACACGACATTAGTGATCTTAAATAATTGTATATACGCTCTCCCATCTCCCTCCTTGAGCTCTGAAGGAGTCTCTATAAACCCTCAATTTCTTCAACCTCCCCATTAAATGAGTGTCGCTGTTCCCAAACCAAGAATTAAATGCAGCAGCTGGACTCTCCACCCACCTCTCTCATTCTCTTTCCAAATAAAATTAAACACATTCTTCCCAAAATTAACTCCTCTTCACCCCACTCTAACTTCAACCCATCAACCCCTTTTCCCTTTCTTCTTTCTCTCTCCTAAAAAATGAAACTCCCCCTTTTTCAATGTCCGCCATTATTCCTCCACCTTCCTCCTCTCCCCCTCACTCCCCTCTCTCACTTCAAAACCTCGGACTCGGTTACGCCATAGCTATCGCTTTCGGTTTCCTCGTACTCTTCTCCGCTCTTCTCCTGTCTTCTTACATCTGTTGTCGGGCCAACCACCGCCGCCGCCGCCGCCTCCACGCTCCCCCGCTACCTAACTCCTCCGACAACGGCATCATCGTACCTCGTATCATCTTTGTCGCGGAAGACGACAACGACGACGAGGAAAACCAAAACAGAGCATCAAACGGCGTCGTTGGACTCGATCGTGCTGTCATAAACTCTTACCCGAAATTTCAATTCTACAAGAAGAATTTAGAATCTAGTAACGGTGATAATTTAATGTGTTCGATTTGTTTGTGTGATTACAAAGAAGGTGAGATGCTGAGAATGATGCCGGATTGTAACCATTTTTTTCACTTGTGTTGTCTTGATGCTTGGCTTAAACTTAACGGTTCTTGTCCTGTTTGTCGGAATTCTCCGTTACCGACGCCGATTTCTACGCCGTTAGCCGAGGTTGTCCCCCTTTCTCAGTACCCTGATAATCGTCGCAGGTCTACTGTCATTTCTTCCTCTTAAACTATTTTCTACTTGTACTATATTTTTATTAGTTTGGATTTTTCTTTTTTTAGATTTTAGATTTTGGTTTAAGTATGATTGATTTGAAATTATGATTATGAAGGCCAAATGTAAACACAAATTCAATGGAAATTGCTAGGTTTTTTTTTTGGCCTGATTCATGCAAATATTGATTAATATCGATTGGTGTTATTAATGTTTAATTAAAAACACGATTAATGTTAAGTTTTGAGTAGGAGTTGAGTATCGATTTTCGATGTTTATTGTTTTTTTTATGTGTGAGATGAGATCATTGAGATGCTATGTTCTCTTACTCCCTAACAAAAAGTAAAAGAAAAAGTGAGATGAAAAAAAAAAGAAGAGAAAGGAAGAAAAAGAGAAAATTGAAAAAAAAAGGAGTTTGTAACTATTGTGATATAAGAACATAGAATCTTTAATTTAAAAAAAAAAATGAAATCATCAAATCATGTGCTATTGTGATATTCTGATTCTTTAATTCAATAATTGACTTTTTTTTTTCTTTTTTTGGTTGGAAGTTTGGAACTATAAGCCATTGTGATGTTTATGTGTTTTATATCCTTTGTTTTCTCTCGAAGAGCATATAATTTTTTAGTTATTTTTATTTATTATTAAAATTTTAGCCTTTTATATAATCCTATATAATGAAGGTCTTATGGATGCTTCTGCTATAGTCAAAGAAGATCCAGAGATTAAGAATTGATGTATTGTTTAATTAAGTTATTAGAGACATGATTGCATTGTTACTAGAAAAAGAGTTGACTTTGGAAAGAAGTTGAGTAGTAGTGTGACAACACACACCACTTGAGCTCCAAAAATTATGTTTGTAAATCTGGTTGAGGAAACTGATGACAAAGGAAATGGTATAGGAGCTTTAAAAACTAATCTCAAGATCTCCCATCTCGATTATCTTCATTATTTATTAACTAATGTACTCAAAACTATACTAAGCTAATTGTAGAACCTACTTAAACTTTTTAATAACTCACTTTTCCACTAACTTTTCAATCAATCTTAGGCAAAACTTTCAACTTTCTATATGAAAACCCAACGACATACGGAGTAGTTTTGTACCCTGATGCTATGTGCTCTTCATCATCTTTAAGGTGTTTGGGTCTAAATTATTTAAGAGTTGGACATTTAGTTTGGTCTGAATGAATTTTTATCTTTAGGAATTACTCCGTATAATTTTGCCTATCTTAATGTGGTATGATATGAATTTTTAAAGTCTAATCTTATTTGGTAATATGTTAATTAGAATAAGGTTTCGTTCCTTTCATCTTATTCAAGTATTTTAATCTAAATCTATTTTGAAGTTTTGATGTAATCTATTATTTTATACATAGTATGTCATTGTCTGGTTTGACTTGTATTGTTTCATTATCTTTAATATATTGTTTGACCAAAACAGAATAGCCTCTTAGATAAATGTAAGTGTACTTATAATGAATTTATTTTGATTTAAAATTTTCACAAAATCTATATGTAACGATCTCAGACATGAAATCAGCTTGACTTTTGTTTAGTCATTGCTTACATGCCTAAGGCTAACACCTAGTAGGCCAAGTGAAAGTGTAGTGGTTTCTAGTCATGGTTCAAATTGAAGTAAACCTATGAAGATGAGGCATAAGAATAAGAATTAAGAAGGGGACAAAAGGGAAGAGCGTGTGAAGGTGTTTCACAATTTATTATTTCGACAAGTAATTACGGAGTAGTTTAAAATATGATCTTATTACATAGAAGGCTTTTAATTGGCTTGACTTCTGAAGTTCATAGTCGTACCATTTAAAAGTAGTTGGTATCCTTTATGAGAAGATTTAATTACGGCTTAGCATGTTTTCAATTTTAAGGGAATGCACTTACTCAGGGAATATGAAGCTCCTTTATTTTTTTTATTTATTTTTATCATAAAGTCATAATATGCGAAAGTTGGTCCAGAATTTCAGCCCAATTGAAATTGACGTAAAGTCCATTTATGCTGAGATTAGAAATTTCCAGCCCATAATCCGATTTCAGCTTCATCTTATCACCCGTTAGAATGAACCCAATTTTTCAATTCAGCTTTACTGTTTAGGAATTAAAGAATACCAAAGGAGAAGTTGGACTAATTGGAAACATTGGGCAATTTTATACTCCGTATATAGTTATTTACTACTCTGTATTTTGAAGTATTTTGGCATTTGACTTCTGCCTGCACAATTGTGTTACACCTTTTTTTTCCTCTTTCTAAAATAAAATGTAATATACTCATATGTTCTGCCTATTTTTATTTTTGATTTGTCCATTTGAAATTGTCCAAGACTATGTATAATTAATTATAAGAAATCATCACTTTATTTTCACATCTACTACATACTACATTTGGTGTCATCAACTCCATCAAACCACAAAATATGAAAGTAACAAAATCTTAATGAAGCATACAAAATTGGCATGAAATAGATGACACCTTGACACTATAACAGGCGTTACTTTCTCTATATAAGGAGAACTACAAATCAATACCAAGGAACCTATAATATTATACGCTTAATATAGGAAGTAGCTGAGAGTCAATGATTATAGGAATGTAGGGAAGAAATTTAATTAATTAAATACTGTAAAATGGTATTCAGCCATCAGCACCCAATTACAAAAGTTTGACCAGCTATAATTAGAGTCAATGATCATACATTCATACTGTATAATATACTATGAATAATTGCTGTTGTCTGTTGATTTGCACCCCTTAAAAAAAGTTACCGTTGATTTAAAACTGTTGTCCAATTTATTAGTATTGCATGGTCTGCATCAAATTAATTACTTCGTGTATATATGCATCTTTTTTTTTATTTATTTATTTATTTATTTATATTTTTGAATCTTTGGGCCGCAGTAGTATATGTTGTAATGTTGTTTCCAACATTTTGTTCAATGTGTGTGCTTCATTTAGATCTAGTCTTACACTGTTACATTATGCAGTGGGCAGAGGGCAACGAATCTTTGTTATGTCCGTATCCTCATATTCTTTTTATATTGCGGCGAGTTCATGCTCATTTTGATTCTTATATTAACTCGTATGTGGAAGCACTATACTATTGGTCCTCGCAACTTCATTTAAATGTTTCTTTTTTTGGACACAAAGATTAATCTTGGTTATGGTTCAGAGAATCAGATGGAGTTCCTCATTCCGTATTAATTTTTATATACAAAGTAGGAAGTATGGAGTATGTCATGTGTGTACACAGTGCATATTTTAAAACCTTATGGGTACCTGGAATAATTTCTAAAAACTAAATTAATACAATGTTTATATATCGACGATAATTTACATACTCTCTCTGTCTCTAATGCTTTTTTTTTATTGTTCGAGTAATAAATGTTAGAAAGAGATTTGTATTAAGGGACGAATGGAGTAATAAGTAATACAATACTAGTACAAAGTAACAATTTCTTATAAATGTGCATATAAATACGAATTTGAATTAATTATGATTAGTGCTAGATCAAATTGTTGCATATTTCAAAATCAATATACTCCCTTTTTTGTTTTAAGTTGGGAATTGATCGACAATTCACGAGTAAAGCGGTATACTAAATATTTATTTATTTTTTTTCTTTCCATTTTTAGCTTTTTTAGGGCTGTATATATTTTTTCTATTTTAAAATACCAATGAAATATTATTATTTACTTATAGTTTTTTTTCCTCATATTTTTGGACTGGTATAGTATTGTAGTACTGTAGTCTGTAGTATCAACAACTACTAAATTTCTAAATCTAGATGTGTAGTATCAACATTCCAGCAAAAAGGCCTATACTTTCGGTAAGCTTTAGCCGACCTAAGAAGAACATATCTCCTTATCCAGGTCATTGTCGAGCCCACTTACATGTTTTATAGCCTAAAAACTTCCTAGGCTCATATTGTGAGTTGTGACGTACTGTAGTAATTTGTGATTAAATTAGCTACAACAAAAATAGGTTTGGGTTAGCCCTTAGCCTTACATGGTCCACTGTAAATTTGTGAATCAAGTATCACAGCCTTCATTGGTACAAAATTAAGGTTAGTCTTTAGTCTACCTAATATAGCTAGATATATGTACCTTCAACATTCTTTCCAATCTTCAAGGATTTAGCATTTCTATTTGACCATTTGATAATGTACAGCTTTTGACTATGTATGTTAATGAATTTTCTACAAATAGAAGTTATAAAACTATACTGTGATATAATCGTATCAATAAAGCATTGAAACCAACTAAATATGTTGTGTATATAGTCCATCATATCTAAATAGTTTTTTTTATTTATTTTTTGGATAGGTTAGCAAACTATGTTGGTGTAAATTTGTGAATCAAGCTTTAAAGTTAGAAATACTACAATGTTTCTCACATTGAACTAGATGGGATGTATTTTATCCGAAAATCCGATAGGTATTATTATTTTGTGCGTGAATTTTATCCGAAAACTCCGTATGAATAAAATTACTAGAATAAATTCATACTCTATATAAACTACTTTATACCGTCCTAATGTCAAACTATTACAAATAAAATCAAGATAATTCATATATTACTCAATAAAATTAAGTCACACCTTGCAATAAAAAAAAATGGTGACAAAGTCCGGAAAAAAAAAACATTCTAAAGGGGAAAGGCCTAAATTAATGACACGTGGCGTCCACCATCCCACGGTCGGCACCTCCATTTTCATGACCGTCAATTTAAATCACATCTGTAAGCAAAAAAATCAGAAAAAGCGTCAATTCTATACAAGACAGAGTCGTCATCAAACGCCGTTTAATAATATTATTCCTCAAGTAACGCCGTTTAATCAATACCGTATTTATATTCCGAAACTTTTGCTTTTGAAATTTGAATCTTCTTTCCCTCTTACAAAACCACTAGATTAACTCCCTTGATTTAATCTCAACGGCCACGATTTCTCCTCTCATTTCCTTTTCTCGTGATCCCCATTCTCTTTATAAAACCTCCCATATTTTTCTCTCTCTCATAAAACCCTCATTTCACTTTCTAGAAACTCCAATCAATCTCTCCCTTTTTTTCCTCTCTCTGAAACTTCTTCGCTAAGCTTTAATGGCGGAAATCGGAGAAACCAAAGCTCCTCATCCCGAGGGAGGAGAATCGTCGTTCATGGAGAAGATCGCTGAGAAGCTTCACTTCCATGAAAGCCACGACCAGGAGAAGAAGCACGATGAAGAGAAGAAGCATGAGGAAGAGAAGAAGCATGATTCATCGTCGTCTTCTTCATCTTCTTCTTCCTCAGATTCTGAATCTGAGAAGCCTAAGATGACGTCGTCTCCTTCTGCTCCGGTTCCTGCTCCTGCTGCTGCTTCTTCGTCTGTTGAATCTAAGATCCGCCGTCTTTTTGGCCGTGAGAAACCTGTTCACCAAGTTCTCGGTGGTGGAAAACGTACGCACTTTTTCTCTCTCTTCTGATTTAAATATTATGCTCTTTGATCTTAATTACTTGATTTATACTTTTAATCTAAGCTGTTCACCAAGTCTTCGATTTTTTTGTATGATAATATTCAGATTTGTTTTACCTAATTTATGATTCCGATTTGCGATTTGATTTCATGTGCATAAAGTGAGATTGATTTATCTATGAATTGCGATTGAATTGGAATTTGATTGTTTGAAGATTGAAAAAAGTAATCTATAAATTGTAATTGTTTGAAGATTGAAAAAAGTAATCTACAAATTGATTGATGAATTAGAAATGATGTAATGAATGTGAATGGTGATGCAGCTGCTGATGTGTTCTTGTGGAGGAACAAGAAGATCTCAGCTACTGTATTAGGAGCAGCTACTGCGATTTGGATTTTGTTTGAGCTGCTTGGATACCACCTGCTCACTCTCGTTTGCCACCTCTTGATTTTCTCCCTATCAGTGTTGTTTCTATGGGCCAATGCTTCCAGCTTTATCAACAAGTAATCTTCAAACTCGCTTTGTTAACTACATTATCATTTATGCATTGAATAAGTTCATTAAATTGCTTGATTGATTAATGTCTTGAATTCGAATCATAGGTCGTCACCACCTCAAATCCCCGAGGTTACACTCCCGGAGAACATGATAATGGAAATTGTTAGTGCTTTTGTGTCTGAGTTGAGACGAGGACTTAAACTGTTGCACGATGTTGCTACTGGAAAAGATGTGAAGCAGTTCCTTGCTGTATGAATTGCTTAACTTATTTTATGTTGATGATTATATTGAAGAGACTAGGAATTTTGGTCATGATCTGATTTTGATGATTGTATCATTTCTTTTTTTTTTTTGACAACAATTGTATCATTTGTTGTTTGCAGGTCATTGCAGGATTGTGGATATTGTCAATTGTTGGCAAGAGCTGCGATTTCTTGACCCTATTCTATATCAGTAAGTGATCATATTGTTATTCATTGCTCTTGGATTTTAAGGTTAGTTTGTGATTGTTATTGTGATTTAAGTAATGTGTCATTAAACATTGTCATCTGTGTTTTGCCACAGATTTTGTATTGTTGCATACTATCCCTGTTCTGTACGAGAAATACGAGGACCATGTTGATGCATTCGCCGAGAGAGCAATGGGTGAGGCCAAGAAGCATTATGGTGTGGTGAATGAGAGGTACATTAGCAAGATTCCAATGGGACCTTTGAAGAACAAGAAGGCGGATTAGAGATATTAAACAAGCCTTATTCCACAAACAAGTGTTAGGTTTCCTAACTCTTGACTTATCCAAAGGTCGTTGGTTGTGCTACTCTACCTTTGGCATTTTCATTTTGGCTATTTGCATTTGACTTTCGGTGCCTAAAAAGTGGTATTGCTGGGTTTAGATTGGAGTTGCCAGTTTTTGTAAGCTTTGTGGGCGTTGCTTTGTTCTTGTTTATTGACATTTATGGCACAGTAGAGCTACCTAATCTTGTTTATTCGTGGACATGGTTCTCTTGGCTTTGATAGGTAATAGTATTTGCTAGAGTTTAGTTGTGATGTATCAGTCACAATACATTGATCTGTTATTACCCTTGTGCTATGCTAATTATATACAGTACAATATATTTTGGTACCTGCTTATTTTGATTTGTTTTCCCTTTGTTGGTCACACGTTACTCTGCTTGGTTATTTCCTTGGAATCTTTTTATTTAAACACTAAAGTGCTGTCATCTGTTCATCAACTCTAAGGACTTGATGTGAAGGTCTTGTAGCAAATTTTATGGCTCAATTTTTAAGTATCTCACCTTATCAATTAGGCAATGTTTTACAGCCTTGTAGTTGACTGTTCCATCTGGTTCCATCAGTCTATTTGTTGATGACTGCAAGGAACCCAGGAGCTTTACAAGTAAAATCCAGACTGCCCTCCTATTTGAGTGTTTGAATCTCTCAAAGTCCCTTGTGGTTGAACTTTTACAGCATGTGCTAATGTATTGTAACTTGTTCAGTTTATCTATTTTTTTTTTTTTTTTTTTTTTTTTTTTTTTTTTTTTTTTTGTGTTTAGAGAGCCACAAGGGCGGGGATAAGAATCGATCCCAGAACATCTGGGTGATTATGGATACTATTATCGATCATGGTTGCTAACCTTTTCTTTCATCCTCATTAATCATTGATCCATCCGTCCATAAAAAAAGTTCCCAGTTTATTACTTGTATACGATGTACTGATTACACGTATAGAAAAGGGAAAATTGAAATAAATGTGTTGAGACTTGAGAGAAGACCTGCGTTGTTTTGAAGGACAAATCTGATAGGAATACGACAATTCGTTAGGAGCGTAGGGGTATGTCCTTGTCTTGTCAATACCAGATTTTTCTCAATTGTTTGTGTCCAATTTATTGCCTTGTTCTTGTACTAATCGAATGTACATTGATTGTGTCGCTATTAACTTGACATGTTAACTAATATCCCAATTATAGATTTCAACAGGCATCATCATAGAGGTGATTATTTACGGGCTTAGGCGGGTAGTGGGCCGGGTTTATGCTTATTTTTTTGTCCAACGGGCTTCATGTATCAAACCCGAACCCTTTTATGCGGGCTTGATACTTTGTCCATGCCCGCTTACTAAACGGGTTGGGCTTGCCCGCGGGCTAACGAGCCTTAATTTTTTGTTGTATTTTTTATAACACTAATTAATCTATTTATTATTTACATGTGCTAAAATTATTTTGGTAGAGGTTGTCTTAAAAAGTTTTATTCACAAATAATGATAATAGAAATTAAAAACACACAAAATATGTCATAATATAAAATTAAAATAAATAATTGTAACCAATAAAAGCTTATAGTTCATTATAGTCTCTCTGTATTGATTATTTTATAGTATTTTCTTAAATACACAAAGTATTATTTTTATTATTAAATATATCACTAACTAAATAAAAATTATTAAAATAGTATTATTATTATAAACGGGCCGGGCGGGCTAAACCAAGACACATATTTTCTTGTCCATAACCGCCCATTTACATTAACGGGCCGGGCCTAACCCGCCCAAATATCCAATTTTTTTTTAAAAAAGGTTATCCAAGCCCGTCTTCTTTGCGGGCCGGGTTGGGCGGGCTTAGCAGGCCGTCCTGCCCATGAACAGTTCTACATCATCATTATTGTGTTTTAGTCATTAGGTGGCATGACTATTAGAAGACATGTAACAATGCTTAAACCAATCCAATGTTCCCAAAAGGATCAATGGCAATAAACAAGATATGACACTGAAATCATCCCTAGTTAAACGAAGGTTTAATTTTTTTACATCCACGCTTTACCTTCAATGAATTTTATCAAGAGCTATAACAAACCAAATGGGTAATTTTCCATTGCATAGTTGTTTAAGATTGAAAATTCAAGACGAATGGGTAATTCTTCATCGCAGATTGAATACATGGGATAACTAATCAATACGACTTATTGGGGTAATAAATATCCACGACACTTTGACGTTTCCCTCTTATCAATCTACATAGAATATTGAGATCATATTTGCAATTGAATCAATATATAAATGAATCAAACATTACATGAACAAAAATAAGAAAACAAAAACTTTTACCTTTTGGCTAATTACACGACGTTTGTATAACTGTATTCAGGTAAGAGCCTCAAAACTATGAGAACTGCTTACCTGAGGGTGTAAGAGGAACTGTGGAGAACTCAGAAGCAGGATGGTCATAAGGTTTAGAGCTCTGATAGGAATGTGACAATCTTGATGTATCAATAGATGGATTTGTGGTAGAAAAGATAGGAGGAAGTCCACTAGAACTTGCTCTTCGGTCAGGCAAAGCTTGAGGAGCAGTTGGGGTGCTTGGACTGCTACCATTAACATCTCCCTTTGATACTTCAGTGGATTCTGTAGACTCTCTCTTTTCTCTCTCTTCAGATTCTTTAAGAAGATAATCAACCCATAGATCCGCAAAAGACTGAAGGTAAAAACATATGGCAAGATGCTAAGAAAAAGATCCAGGTCTGGGTTAAAAGAACTTATTAATTAAGAATCAACTAGTCAATTACCTGATTTTCTGAAGCCATATTTGCAGGTGTCCCTGCAGAACCTCCACCCATAAAGCCACCAACAAAGCGGCCAGGCAAACCCAAAACACCACGAACTACACCTTTTCCACCTTGCTGAGCAGCGCCTATTCGCTGCTTATCCTCGTCTGAAAATCCCAGCATGCGAACCATGAGATCAAGTACCTGGTAACAATTCAAAATGAGCCACTATTAACATTCAAAATGAGCATATAATTCATATAAATGATCCACACAATACATGGCAACAATAATTCAATAAAGATTGGGGTGGTAAAATAACAGTGTACCTCTTTACTGTGGTTTCTCTGGAAGTATGTCACAAGCAACTTGATGACAATGCGCCTGAAAATATCACACAAAACATTAGTTGACCCTAAGAAGATTGTTGCCACATCCAACAATTGTTTTACACAACAGCAGAAAGATGATGAATCAGGTATGAAATACTGCACAAAAAAGTATTGCATGGTTTCAAAATGCAAACCTGTCGACAAGAAAATCAGAATCCACTGACATCCTATTGAGCCTTGTCATGCTTTGCTCTAGCGCACGACGGAGTTTTGCATTGTCCTCCTCAAGCTTATTTACCCGATTCTTCCATTCTGCTACTGATTTGTCTGCTTGAGCAAGCTTGGCTAAAATTTCTTCCTTCTCCTTGTTTGATGCTTCAACTTGTTGTTGTGATTCCTGCAGTATATATGGCATGTTATTTTCTGAAACAAAATCACAAAAAAACATTTCTACTCTCTTTACTGAGCTACGAAAAAATTAATTATGAAAATTTACTGACAAGTTGTAGAGAGAGCAAGTACAACAAATCTGAAACTTTCCCCCCTTCGGAATACTTCCATCATATGCAGTCAAATGATGGATAGATTGGCACGTTTAATGTTACTAGTATTTCAACTGGAAATTTGAATATGTGAGATGAAAACTCAAACGTGGTCCACAACAAGCGAATCTCGGCTTTCTTTGAAAGCTATGGCACAAAGAATTTTCAGGATTAAACAAGAAGTCAACAATGCATCAGGTTTTGAAAATTAACTACTGAACTACATGCACTGATGCACACTACAAGTTGATAAATATCACACATATTTAGAGCTCTTTGCAAGCTACTGTTACACGTGAAAGACGCCAAAGAAAGTAAAGACTTATGGCTGTTAATATGGGATGGAGCACAGACCTGCAGAAGTTGTGAAAGCTTTGAACACTCCTCTCTGGATAGCGATAGGTCACCTTCCAAACGCTCCTGTAAATAAAAATTTCACAATTTGGGCATGAAAGGGCTTCAAACAATGCATTCAGAAGCAAATATAACAGAAAGAAGATTTGGGACCAAGTTAAGACCTTTGCTTCGATTTCAGCATAGTATTGTCCAAGAGCAGTTTGCAAGTTCAAGATTTCTATATTTTTGGCATCAATGACACCCATGAAGCTACCAAGCTTCTTCTTCAAGTCCTCAATTATTTCCTTTGACTGCTGTAGTTCATGATCATTCATAATCTTGATCTCCTCCTGACTTGCACGAGCTTGCCCCAGAGCTCTTTCTAAATTTGAGATTGTTGCCCTTTGGTATTCAACATGCTGTCGAAGCTCCTCAATAATTTTACTATCCTCATCCATCTTTTCTGATTCTTCCAATTCCTAAAGGGAGATAGCACACAAATAGCTTGAATATTAGTGACATAGTGCCAGATAGTTGAAGGGGGGATTGAACATGTAAACTATACAATTTATTCTGAATGTAATATGATGAATGAAAAGAGACAAAATCCATTGAAAATAAATTTTGAGCTAATCAAATTCCCAGAGTTTGATAGGTTGGTTTACCAATGTTATATTAGCCACAAAAATTAATTTAAGTACTGATAACAAACAAATTCACATTACGGAGTAAAGATTATGAAGCACACAACCTTATCCAATAAATGTTGCTTTAGACGAGCAAGCTCTTGATTGGCTTTATCCCTTCCTCGACGTGTTTCTTCAAGTTCTTTCTCAATCTGTTGTAAGGAATGCTCCAATTCAGCTTTACCAGGGAAGCTCGTAAATGCATGTCCATCCTACATTTACACTATGTATTAGTTAAACTGGAATTGCATTGACAGTGAAGACCTATATGGTTTTCAAGAAATAACATCAGCATTAACAGACATTACCTCATTAAAATTGTTATATTGCAGCTTCCCTGCTCCAGTAGTATCACTAAGTGTGGATTCAAATTTTTCCTTCTCTGCCTAGAATAAAGCTAAGAATTTAGTTCCCGCACTTCTACTAACATGATAGTACTTATCATTAACTCTGTTGACAAAATGCAAACAACAAAAGGAAAAAGATGACCAACCTTTAGCTTGACATTTTCCTTCTCCAGGCTTGATATTGTTGTTCTCAGGTCGTCTGTATCATTTGCTCCTTCACTCTGTCTTCTACGAAGTTCCATTTGTAATTGTTTAATTTCCAATTCTTTTTCATCCACCTCTTGGCGCAGCTTATTTACCTCAAATGATGTCTGCAATACACAAACAATAATTCCACAATAGTTATTATAAATATAC